AGGGAACTCTGGTGGCTTTATGGTAAGGAATCATTCTGCCAGCACAGTGGTATACGGTTCAAATCCGCCAGCTGCTCTTTGAGAGAAAAATAGACCGTCTCTTCCCATATGATTTACTGCCTCTGAACACCTGCTGGATGGTGTACCTATGTGTTGGTTCTGACTCAGAGATACACAACAACTGATCATTTATAGGACAATTAAACTACTCCATATAGTACTGTAGTGATGGACACACGGCTTTATGCAGCTTTGGCTTTTGATTAATAATACACCACTATTGGTTCGTCAGTTATAACAATTATAGCATCAGGATTGAAGGGAGACTTATCAACAACTTGCATTAATGCAGATGACACAACCTTGCTTGCTGAAAGTCAGGAGGAATTGAAACACTTGTTGCAGAAGATCAAGGACTGCAGCCTTCAATATGGATGACATCTCAATATCAAGAAAACAAAAATTCTTACCACTGGAGCTGTAGACAACATGATGATAGATGGAGGAAAGATTGAAATCATTAATAATTTCATCTTACTTGAATCTACAATTAACACCCTTGGTATCAGCAGTCAGGAAACAAAGAGATGTATTACATCAGGGAAAATCTGCAGTTAAGGACCTCTCCAAATTATTGAGGAATAATGATGTCAGTGTAAGGACTAAAGTGCATCTGATTCAGGCCACAGGCTTTCTGATCACTTGCTATGCATCTGAGAGCTAGACAGTGAATAAAGATGACAGAAGAAGATGCCTTTGAGCTATGGTGTTGGAGAAAAGCGCCAAACTTTCCATGGAGCACCAAGGGAACAAACAGATATGTCTTGGAGAGGTTGCACCTGGAGTGCTCTTTGGAAGTAAGAATGATGAAGTTTCGCATCATACTTTAGGTATGTTGCTAGGAGGGACTATTCCTTACAGAGGGCCATGATGCTGGGATGGGTAGAGGGTTGGCGAAGGAAGAGGATACCCTCAACCAGTTGGATTGACATGGTGACTGCCACAATGAGCTTTAGTGTGTCAGGAAGCGTGAAGACGGCACAGGATAGAACAGGGTTCAGATGTGTTTTTCATAGGGTCACTATGAGTCGTACTCTACAGCAACTAATGAGATAACTTTTGATTCTTCAGTTATAACAAATGTGCTATAGGTATGTTAATTGGAGAAATAATGTGCAGGAAGGAAAGGATATATTGAAAGCCTGTACTTTCTGTAGTTTTTCTCTAAACCTGTAACTGGTGTAAAAAGACAGTTTATTTTTAAAAAGTGAAAACTAAATGCTATTGAGTTAGCATTTAGAAACTTAAAATTAGTCTAACTCTGCATCAGCTGCCAATTACAAAATGTGCACAAAATATTTTTTAAAATAACGGTTTAGAAGCATAAGAAAGTGACTTACGGTGGACCCAAACTGGCAAAGAGTCTCCACAGGGGAAAGATGGGCATTCTCCTCGCATGCGATTTCCTGCCTCTGAAAACTCACTGTAGGGTCAGCTTTTGATCATGATTCCATCTTGACAGAACTCAGCAACAAAAACATTGCATTAGTGACAAAAGTTAAGGGTTTGAAGCTAAATGCATACTGGTGGCCTAGTGGTAAGAAACTGCACTGTAATCACAAAGACTCAGGGTTTGAATCCACCAATAACTCCATGACGTACTGCCTCTGAAAATCCACTAGAGGGTCTACTATGAGTTCCAACTCAATGGCACATAACAGCAGAGTAAATATCAGAATTCTTCTGAAAAGCACCAGATAATACAGTCTCTTTTCTGAGCCAGAATTCAACAGAGCAGTTAAATACTAAAAATGAATATGAAAGAATGTCAGAAAAGAACAGAAAAATTAAAAATAACACCAAAACAAGACCAAGAATGAAATAAAATTTTAAACAAGTTTTTCAGGCTTGACAAAAAATTACATTAAATGGGAATGGACTGAAAATTTTAATTAATAGTGCCAGATTGTCAGACTGGTTTAAACTGCTTTCTAGAGGATGTTAACATTATAGATACAATAAAACACAAATAGGCTGATTTTAACGGATACACCATGCTGCTAATATAGTAAGCATATGAAAGCTTCGAATGGCAATATTAATATCTGCAGAATATCCCAGAACACTTGATCGTGCTAATGGGAAACCTATACTTGGACCAAGAGGCAGTCGTCAGAACAGAGCAAGGAAACACTACATGGTTCAAAATTGGGAAGGGCATACACCAAGGATGTTTCCTGTCTCCATACCTTTTCAACCTGTATGTAGAACAAATTATCTGGGAGGCTGGACTCTATGAGGAGAAATGTGGGGTCAAGATTGGAAGATCTATCAACAATATGCATTATGCAGATGACACAACCCTGCTTGCTGAAACTGAGGAGGAGCTGAAGCGCTTGCTGCAGCAGGGCAAGAACTGCAACCTCCAATATAGATTGAGGCTCAGTGTCAAGAAGACAAAGATTCTCACCACTAGACCAATTGACAGCATCAGGATGGATGGTGAAGAGATTGAGATTGTTCACAGCTTCAGTTTGCTTGGCTTCAAAGTCAACACTCTTGGCACCAGTAGCCAGGAAATTAAAAGATGTATTTCCATTGTAAAGTCTGCTGTTAGGGACCTCTCCAAAGTACTGAAGAACAACGGTGTCTTTCTGGAGACTAAGTTGCATCTGATACAGGCCATGGTCTTTGCATTTACTTGTTATGCATCAGAGAGTTGGACAATGACTAGCGAGCATAGAAGGAGAATTGACGCCTTTGAGCTGTGGTGTTGGAGAAGAGTATTGAGGGTACCATGGACTGCTAGGAAAACAAACAGATTCATCCTGGAGAGGGTTAAACCAGGCTGCTCCTTGGAGGCAAGGATTCTGAGCCTTCGTCTGACATACTTTGGTCATGTTGTAAGGAGAGATCAGCCTACCGACATCATGCTCGGTAGGGTGGAGGGCAGGTGCAGGAGGGGAAGGCCCTCTAGGAGGTGGACTGATTTGGTGACTCAGGTAATCGGGATGAGTGTGTCAGAGACAGTGGGATTGGCACAGGACAGAACAAGAGTTTAGGGCTGTTGTACATAGCGTCGCTTTGAGTCGCACATAACAACAGCAACAAACCTCTCCAGACTGCTGAAGAGCAATGATGTCAGTCTAGATACAAAGGTGTACCTAATCCAGGCCATGGTCTTCTCAACTGCGTGTTATGCTTCAGAGAGTTTGACAATGACTAAGGATGACAGAAGAATAGATGCCTTCAAGTTGTGCTGGAGAAGAGTCTTGAACATACCAAGAAAACCAATAGGTCTGTCTTGGTGAGGGTGAAGCCAAGTCTTTCCTTGGAGGCTAGGATTTTGAAACTCCGCCTCACTAACTTTGGGCATGTAGCCAAAAGAGATCGATCCTTGGAGAAGGACATCATGCCCAGAAGGGTGGGCCGACAGTGCAGGAGAGGGAGACGCCAGATGAGATGGATTGATACAGTAATTGGGGCAGTGGGGGTTGGTGTGTTGGAATTAGACTGGCTCAGGACTAAGGACTGGGAAGGGTTCAGAGCTGCTGTACATAGGTTCACTATACATCACAGGCGATTCAATGACACATAACAACAATAACATTCTATGACAGGTTTGGAAGCAGGAGTGGCATCCACTTCCTAAGCAACATGCCTCTAGAAACTCTGATGAACTTTGGCAAATGTTGATAATTGTAGAGGAGCTTCAGACCTTTTGTTCATAGGGTCACTATGAGTTGTGCTCGACTCGAAGGCAGACAACAACAACAAACTCAGCAATAGCAAATCACATAATCCAAATTTTAAAAAAGCAAAAATGCCAAATGTATATTTATACATATCCCATCAAACACTTGCAAATGAAAAATAATTATATGACATTACATTCACCATTACCAACTATTACACTCACTGTTACCAACTACCAAAGCAATCCAAAGGAAATCCACAGTGAGATATTATTATATACTTACTGGAACAGTTAAAATGAAAAATCATGGTGATACCACGTACTGTGAAAAAGTAGAGAAATTGCATCTCACACATTATTGGTGGAATGAAAAATGGCCCAACCCTTCTGCAAAGTAGTTTTGCAACTTCTTGTAAAACTAAAAGTGCAGTTAATGTTTGACCCAGCAATTTCACTGTTCTGGTGGCCTAGTGGTGAGAAACTGCACTTCTATCCCAAAAGCACGTGGTTAAAATCCACCAGGCACTATGCAAGAGAAAGATAGGCAGTTTCCTCCTGTGCAGTTTATTGACTCTGAAAATCCACTGAAGGGTCAAGTATGGGTTGGTTCCAACACTGCAAACAACATATGTCATATAATCAGAACTGGGTCATATTTGACCCTCCAGCAAGTTTTCAGAGGCTATAAATTGTACAGAAGATGATTTTCTGTCTTCTTCCACAGAGCAGATTATGGATTCAGACCTTCTGCCAGTTACTGGCAGGACAACTCCTTACCCCCTAGGCCATGAGAGCATTTACCCTAATGAAACTAAAGTTGATGTTAACACAAATATTTACATGCAAAAATTCATGCAGAAATATATAAAACAGACTTAAGACAGGGTAATGGTGAGCAAGGTCCAATGGTGATTAATTTTAAAAAATGCATGGGAATGATCGTGTAAAACACAATGTGAATGAAGAGCAGTGTAAAATTTAATGTATACAAACTCTGTTGGTTTTTTATGTTTGTTTTTTTTTAAATGTATACAAACTTTGTAAGCAAACCAGTATAAAATTCTAAAAAAATCTAATCTAATAAAGGAAAAGAGAAAAATGTTAAATACATGAAAGATTTATAAGCTATATATATGTTGGTTCTTTTCATGCTAGTGAATAGATTCTATTGTCTCATTGTATACTGAAAATGAATACTGTTTTTTAGTACTTCATATTTTAGTCCCCTATTTAATAGCATGTACATAACTTCTAAGCTAAGGAATATAGAAACAATATTTGATATGTTTTCTTCTCATTTCAGGTCAATGAATACATTTTTGATAATTTACCTTATAATCCTTATTTCTGAAGCCATCCTCAGCACTATTTTAAAATACACATGGCAAGCTGAAGAAAAATGGGATGAACCTTGGTATAACCAAAAGACAGAGCATCAGAGAAATAGTAGTAAGGTATTTTATGGTATTCTTGACTCTGCTATAGAAGAAACGTTATTCTTTGCCATGGTTAATACTTGAGTACTGACTTCTATATGAGGAACCCTTGGAATCTGAAGGGTGATAAAATGAAATTGCGGATGAAGAATTATAAGGATTATGTTTGAATTGGTATACACACCCCCCAACACCCCATTCCATATACTCCAGCAGAGGTTGTATTACCTAATGGCATAGCTTGAATAATTACAAGAGGTCACAGATATCTAAATAAGTCTGAGTTTGCAATCCATTTCAACCTTACATTTTTTAGTTTTTATTCCATATACTGTACTTTATCATAAATTCATTAATAAGTAAGTGTAATAATTTGCAGTTAGTTCTATTTGAATAAATCAAGGTTATTGATGTCAAGTCTATTGTTTTGAAGTAATACACAAATGACAGTTTTAAACTGATTAAATGTGGATTACCACCAAAGATTACTTCAGGGAAGTATTCTCTAAACATCACTTTAGGTTGAAAGACATATTGCAATAGAAATTTAGATCTAATGAGACTACATAGCATGTAATCACAGGGACTCTACCCTCTTTTTGGAGGACCTACTTTTAGTATCATTCACTAATATATTTTGCAAAATCCCTGTTGAAATGTGTTTCTCCTGTACCATTGTTAAACTGGCTGTGGTGTAATTCATACTGGAGAGTTTTGATTGCTAACAATTCAGCCTAGAAATTGTTTTTTATAACTTTTTAACTTTATAGTCACTTTTAAGTTATCTTTGATAAAAAGGGCTGGAGTGGAATAGATATTATGGAAGTTAAGGATAATTTTGTTACTATCTGTTATGCTAGGCTTTTTCTTTCCCAATTTATTCTATCAAAGTAATGTGTACACAAATACTAGTGAAATAGCTAACTTAGCAAGGTGAGGAGCCCTGTCAATGTTCTGTGTTACATGTTGGGCTGTTAACTGAAAAAAAAAGAAAAAGAAAGAAACTTAGTTAAGTGGTAGACTACATCTGTAGAAACAACTGTTGGAGAAGCTCATATCTGCAGTCCTGGCCAGATCCTGACTGTGGAACAGACTGACAGTTGCTCATGTGCCAGCTCGAATTGAACATGAAAAACAAGTCCACAGAAAACAGAATTCAACCTTGGGTCTTTCCCACCTGAATTTAAAAGTCCTCTCAAGAATAGTTTTGAGGCATTGAACACTAATGATAGAAAACCAGATGAGATGATATTAAGGATATCCCCCACAAAGCAGAGAAAGAAAAATGGATGTCAGAAAAGACTGACAGTTGCACTAGAAGGTCAAGAAGCCAAAAGAAGGTGAAAAGATGCTGAAGTAAAAGCTGAACAGAAGATCTCCAAGGGAAGCTCAAGAAGAGAAAGCAAAGAATTACAACAGAATGTGCAAAGGGCTGGAGTCAGAAGTCAGAGGGAAGAACTTGCTCAACATTTCTCAAGTTGAAAGAACTGAAAACAAATTCAAATTCAGTTTGTTTCTATATGTACAATATATTGAATGATGCAGGAAGCATCAAAAGAAGATGGAGGGAATACATAGATTCACAGTACCAGAAAGAATTGATTGACACTGAGATATTTCAGGAAGTAAGGTATGAACAAGAGCCAATGGTAGTGAAGGAAGATCATGCACTGAAGGCATTGGCAAAAAATAAGTCCCTAGAAATCAATAGAAGATGATTTAAAAGGTTTCAAGTAACAAATGCAGCCCTGAACATGTTTACCAATGGAATGTTTGCCAGGAAAATTGGAAAACAGTTACCTGTCCAACTGGCAGAAGACCCATATTTGTTCCTATTTCCAAGAAAAGTGATTCAGCAGAATGTGGAAATTATTTAACATAATATCACATGCAAGCAAAATATTGCTACAGATAATCTAATAACAGTATGTTGTCAGAGAACTGCAAGAAGTTCAAGCTGGGTTTAGAAGAAGCCTTGCTACCAGGGATATCATTGTTGATGTCAGATGAATCTTAGCAGAAAGCAGGCATAACTAGAAAAAATGTTTGTGTTTTATTATTTTTTTACATTTTTTTCTTTTTCTACATTTTTAAAACTTTATATTGATTTATTTACGAAGTTCAAATAATATTGTTTTTTACAAAGGATTTTTCCCATTTCCTTCATCTCCACCCCCACCCCCAGTCGAATTGTGCAACCCTGTGATTAACATCCCCCCCATCTTCACCCCTCTGCTTCCACCTCACCCCCTTTGGATCCCCAAACTCATTCTACAGTAGTGGTTTTACACAGTATTTGTCCTTGTGGGACTGAGTTAGTTCACTTAGCATAATGCTCCCTGTTTAGGTAGTAATTTACAAAATCATTGTTCCTGCGTGCTGCATAGTAATCCGTTGTATGATTGTACCACAACTTCTCAATCCATTGATTTGTGGTTGGACATCTGAGCTGTTTACATGTTCTTGTAATAGTGAATAATACTGCTGTGAACATTTGTGTACAAATCTCCATTTGAGAATCAGTTTGTGTTTTATTAACTCTACAGTTCTTTTGACTGTTGTGGATCGTAACAAGCTATAGTTATCTCTTGTCAACCCAGGATACAGAGAGAAGCAAGACAGAGACACCAAGGACAGAGAAGAAAAACAGAGTGTTAAGGCAGAGGGAAGACAGCTCAAAGAATGCAGCTTTGAGCCAAGCATCTCTGTAACCTTTATTGAGAATCAACAGGAAGTAAATCACAAAGAGAATTCTTTGCAAATGAAGCTATGTTTTTTTTCTGTTGACAGTGTTATGCTTATCTCAGGAATGAGGGTTTTATAAACACAATCTGAGAATTGTTGAGGTTCTACTAGGTCTACCTTGGCCCCTGATTCCTGTTATCTGTCTTAGGAGGAATTCCACCTTGTATTTGCACCTTCTTCAGTTCCTGGTTAAGCATTTGGTTTAACATTTGGATTCCCACAGTTAACACTGAGACAAATGGGAATTCCAGAACATTTCATTATTCTCATTTGAAACCTGTATCTATACCAAGAATCTTGTTCAAACAGCAAGGGAGCACTGCATGGGTTAAAATCAAGAAAGGAGTGCTTCAAGGTTGCATCCTTTCTCCAGGCCTATTCAGTGTGTTTGCTGAGCCATTCATTTGAGAAGGTACACCGTATATAGAAGAAAACTGTGGCATCAGGATAGGAGGGAGACTTGTCAGCAGTCTCTATTATGCAGATGACACAGCCTTGCTTGCGGAGACTTGAAACACTTGCTACAGGAATCAAACACTGCAGCCTTCATTTGGATTACATCTCAACATCAGGAAGACAAAAATCTTTACCACCGGGGTGATAAGGAGCATCATTAAAAATGGAGAAAAGACTTAAATTGCCAACAATTTCAAATTTCATCTTACGGGGTCCACAATCAACAGTGTTGGCAGAAGCAGTCAAGAAATCAAAAGATATATTACAGTGAGAAAGACTGTTTTCTGGGACCTCTCCAAAGTAGTGAGGAGCAGTCGTGTCAGTTTAAAGATTAAGGTTCACCTGACTCAGACCTTTTCCATCACTTGGTTCACCGGATTCAGATCTTTTAATCACCAACTGTGCATCTGTTTGCTGGACAGTGAGTAAGGATGACAGAAGAATGGATGCCTTTGAATTGTGTTGAAGAAGAGTATTGGATATCCCATGGACTGCCAAAAGAACAAACAGATGTCTTGAGAATGTACAGCCACACTGCCCCTTGGAGGCAGGGATGGTGAAACTTCATCTTACATACTCTGGGTATGTTGTTAGGAGAGGCTGTTCCTTGGAAAGAAGCATCATGTTTGAAAAGGTGGAGAATCAGCAGAAAAAAGTGGGAGAGAGGGATTGACACAGTGACTGCAGCAATGGCTCAAAATGTATCAGAAATTTTAAGACTGGCGTAGGATAGGGCAAGGATTTAGATATGTTGTTTATAGAATTTGTGAGTCGTACTCGATGGCATATAACAGCAACAGTAAGATAATATTTATTGAAAAGACAAATCTGTTAATCTAAATTTATTGATACTGTAGATGATACATTTTAAAATGTAGTTGATGACTTGAAAGTTTCTGATGATTCCCTACAGTGATACTGAAGAAATTCTTGTGTGTGTTCTCTAATCAAACTTTTTTTTCCTTTTTCCCAGATTCTGAGATTTATTTCAGACTTCCTTGCTTTTTTGGTGCTCTATAATTTCATCATTCCAATTTCATTATATGTGACAGTAGAAATGCAGAAATTTCTTGGATCGTTTTTTATTGGCTGGGATCTTGATCTCTATCATGAGGAATCGGACCAGAAAGCTCAAGTCAATACTTCAGATCTGAATGAAGAGCTTGGACAGGTGAAATGATGCTTTTATGCTTCTAGTTTAGTACTTCAAGCAATGAATGTACGAAGATAGATAAAACGGGAAATATTACATGACTTCTAACAGAAAACCACCCTACTTTGTTTTACCCCTACCTTTAAAAGTTTCCCGTTTTTCTTAAGCTGTTTCTCGTACTTACTATTCTATTTCTGTGTAATTTCTTGATTTTTTTCAATTCAGACATTATGTACCGTAAAATAGAAAAGAAACCTTTTTTTAAGCTTTTAAATATCTTGCTGTAATCCATTTTCTAAAAGAAAATAACAAACACTTTATAGAACAAGTATGAATGAAAGCTGTCCACTTTTAAGTAAACAACTTAAAAATTCTAAACGCTTGAAGGATTTTTTTTATAGTTGACAGCTCTTCATAATGCTAATATGAGGAATGGTAGTTACCAGGCTCCCAGGATCTGTTCAGCACCAGATAGGAGACATTCTTTATGTTAGAAAAACCTTAGCACCCATAGAGAATGATGATAGCACATCATCTTTGTCATCTATGATACAACCTGTAATTTAAGTACCAAGAGCCAACTGTCAGGGTTCCTATCCATCTGACAGTACTTCTCTAAGGGAGTAGATTCCAATCTTTAGGCCTTCAGTCATCGAATTATAGACATTCTGGGAAGGGACACTGTCATAGCTGAAATTCCAGAGCACTCTGACTTTGTCCATAGACATCACTCTAGTGGACATCTTAAAACCCCTAAAAGATGGCTAGACCCCTTCCCCTCACTGGGGGACAGTGTTTAGAGCAGGTGCCAGGGGACAAGGATATGAAAATGTCTAGTTTAGTAATCTTGTCATACAAAGAATGAAAAATTAAAAAATATAATTGTTATACTGCATCCCCACATATCCTCCCAGCCACATATACACGTTGTGTCCCTATATCCCTTCAAGTATTTTATTGAGCGTTAATTTTTACCCTTGTTCATGTACTCATAATTTATGTATGCCCAGGTAAACCATAATTAAATTTCCTTTTTCGTGATTTTTGTTTTCCCTATTGTCCATTGCTCAGATTTTCATTTATGTGGTTTCCATGTACTGGAAAACAAACTGACAAATATATGAAATTTTTTTTTTCTACATATTAAATACATAAGGAAATCTAGGATTTTCTTTCCTTTCTTCCTTTCTGCATATAACGGGGTTTTTTTGTTGTGTTTTGGGGTTGGTTTTTTTTCTAAGCCTTGTATCTTTCTGGTTAAATTTGGACTTCTTACTTCTGGATCTGCTTCTCAATTCTCCCTTTGCATTTCTTTCTCTTGTCACCTAAGAAGTTCTTTGAACCTTTCTTGATTTTTATCTCTTATTTGTTGTTCTCTTACCTTTCCATCTATAGCTTTTTGCCTTCTTTTGCTCAAACACATTCCCAGCTCCTAAAAAAAGAATGCATAAGGGAAAATGTTTTGAGACTGCACATATAAAAATATGTTCTATTCACATTTGTTTGGTAATAAATTTTGAATATTGCTAGAGTAGAAATACTTTTTTTCCCCTTGAAATTTTGAAAACATTGCTCCAATATTTTCTAACTTCCAGTGTTGATATTAAAGAATCCAGTCTCATTCTTATTTTTAGTTTTCCATATTTTATCTCTTTTAAAAAAACATTTCTGAAAGTTTTTGAGATCTTCTATGTGAGAGATCTGAAATTGTATGATTAAATACATTGCTATCATTCCCCCTCCTTTCTTTTTTTTTCCCTTTCATTGGACAGTGTGCTCCAGAAGCCCTCTCAGTCAGGACATGCTATCTTTCAAGTAAAGGACATTTTCCAATATTGTTCCTTTGGTAATATCATTTCTGTGTTTTCTTTTTCTGAAATTATTATGATGTAGCTATCAGACCACCTGAATCAGTTTTCTAATTATCTTACTTTGACATTCATTTTTCATTCATTTTCTATAGTCTTCTCCAGGGAGAATTGCTCAATTTTAGTTTTTGTTTTTTTAAAAAAAAAGAAAATTTTTAAATATTTTTCTTGTCAAATGTTTCTTTTGTTCCAGTATTCTCTGAACAGTGTTTCTAAAATGAATCTTTATCTAGTCTTTAAAATATCATCTGTTCTCTTACTTTTCTTACAATTTAAGTTTTGTTTTCTGTATTTATCTCTGCTCTTACCTTCTTTGTTAATAGTTCTGCTATAACGTGACACCAGGCTTCCTAAATATCATTGCAGTATGTGGAATTGCTTGATGAAAACCACAGTGCTCGTCTCAGAGATAATTGAAGTTAGGGGCACAACACAAAAATATCAGAAATATATTTTTAAAAAGAGAAGCCCAATAAAAGCAGCAGTTCCAAAGTACATAAATGTAACAAGTGCAGCATTTGCTTTTTAAAAATGCCTCAGATTTGCTTGTGGAAGTAGGAAAAGTTTGCAGTATGAGCATTAGTGTAAGAGTATAAGAAAGGGTACCTAAAGCCAGAAAGAAGTTTGTAATGCCAGCGGTAAATGAGTGTGACTCATAATGCACATGATGAATGGATGCAACTGGTAGCTATTTGAGGTTTGTGTACTTTTTTCTGTAATTACAGAGTGTTATTCAGAGACAGAATCATGTAAACCAAAGCCATAGGTCAGTCACATTGTCTCTAAATTGTGCTCATATTTTAATAGCGCTGGAATACATTTTTATTTTTAAAGTAGTATTGTTTTAGACTGTGCTTTTCATATAAGAAGTTGTCCTCACCTAAACTCTAACCGTTGACTATGTTTTCAAGTTAAAAGTAACGCTAAAATGTTTATTGGAAATGCTCAGTTCATTGGTCTCCACCATTAGGCTAGCATTCCAGCTGTTCTGGGAAAGTTTTTACTTTTCTGTGCTAACTGTTCTGGGGAAGTTTTTTACTTTTCTGTGTTAAAAACGATTTTCTTTCCTTTTCAACACTGTTGTGTTTACCCTCAGCTTCTGTTTCCTGTCTACTTTAGATAGCTTCCTACCACTGACTTCTGTTTCTCCCATTTTGTGTTCCTGTTCCTAGCTATGTACCATTTCTCCTAGCCCAGATTCCTTTTCATATCTGGGTTATTAATCCATCCTATCCACCTTTGCTTCAAAACTAGTTTCTGAGGAATATGCTATTTCATGAACTCAGAGTTTATACCATGTTTTCATAAACTTAGGGAATATGCACCTAAAGATGCCACGAACTTCAAAGTATCTGAAGATTGAAAAGATTTTGTGGTACTTTGTTTCATTTCTTTGGCATTTTGATTTTTCCATTGTACTTGGATTATAAGAATCTTAACATCAGTGTATCTATGTTCAATGTTGAATTTTACATATAGCATCTGTATATCAACATAGAGAAGGCAAAGTTTTTTGTTTGTTTTATTAATGTAGCACTATGAACATAAAAGTTTGTTTTCCACTCTTCTAGGTGGAGTATGTGTTTACAGATAAAACTGGCACGCTGACAGAAAATGAGATGCAGTTTCGAGAGTGTTCAATAAATGGTATAAAATACCAAGAAATCAATGGTAGACTTGTACCTGAAGGCCCAACACCAGACTCTTCAGATGGAAACTTATCTTACCTTAGTGGTCTATCCCATCTGAACACCATACCTCATCTTACAACCAGTTCTTCTTTCAGAACCAGTCCTGAATATGAAATTGAACTGGTAAGCAATTTTTAAATTCATGAATAGGGACTACATTTCACTAACATCTTCCATTTTATACAGTTGTCTACATTGAGTTGGTCTATTGTACAATAGACGTTTACATGTCACTTTTATGGGGCACATTTATGGGGCAAGAAATACTTGAAATGCTTACTTTTTAATTGAGTACTACAAAACATAATACTGAAAATGTCTAATCACAGCCCAGTTTAACCTGTCATTTACTCTGTGTCTTCCTTAGTTTTCCAGATAGTAAATAGTATATATTAAGGAAAGGAGCTGTGATGGCTTGGTGCGGTACAGGTTTCTCTACTGACCAAACAGTCAGGAGTTCGAATACACCAGCTTCTCCCTTATGTATGGATCATATTGGAATATAGTTTTATTTTGAAAAGTGTGTAATAATACAAATGCCTGTGGATTGTAATAGATTATACCTTTCACATAAAAAGCCATCCTCAAATGAACACTAATGCTTAACTAACCTTTTAGATTTCATCCTATGAAGATTTACATACTTGGAAACCTCAACGAAGGGCACTAGGAGTCACCATCAACTCAGCGACAGCGGATTACGCTCAATATTAAGAAAAGCCCTATTGTCTTGAACAAGACATTGCTAAAAAATGTTGTATACCGTCAAGTCGGAACCAACCCATAGATGTCCTGGGTTCCCTGTTTCCATTCATCCAGTTTCCCTGTCCCCCAGGTTTTCTCATCTTTTATTGCGGGCAGATATTGCACCTACGGTTTGATGTAGTTGATTGTTCTAAGGATCATGTATGTAACTGTCTTATGTTATGTGCCGTTATGGCAGAACCCACAGTGAGTTTCAAGAGGCTGTAAATCACATAGGAGTAAACGGTAAACTGTCCATCTTTCTCATGTTGAACAGCTAGTGGATTCAAACCACCTGTCTTTGAGTTGGCAGCACAACTCCCTGCTACTCAAGGAGTATATGTCTTGTATTCCTATTATTTGTCTGAAAGAAAGCCTTTGGGTGTATCTTCAGTTTTTAGATAGAAGTTTGTCTCAGGACAGTAGTCTCTGGGATTCTGCTGGTGACTTTCTGACCAGCAAGTCTGATCTTTTTAATTTTTTTGTTTTACTTTTGATTTACATATTTCCTAATTCCAACAAGGCTGTTATGTGTGTTCTTGGTCTGAGGGTTTGGTGATGATAACTGGGCACCATGGAGTTTAGTTTCAGGTTAGAGGATGCTGTAGTTCATATTTGGGCTGTTAGTCTTTTGATTCAGTTATTCCTCTGAGTCTTCCTTATTCATCATTCTCCTTTGTTCTAGGCAAGAATAGATTACTAGTTGCCACTTAAATAGCCACTAATAAACTTTTAAAAAAGAAATTTGGATGAAAGCTTAAAAATCATGTTGTTGTTGTTGTTATGTGCCGTCGAGTCACTTGTGACTCATAGCGACCCTATGTACAACAGCACTAAACCCTGCTCTATCCTGTGCCAATCGCATTGCCTCTGACACACCCATCCCGATTACTCCAGTCACTGAATCAATCCACCTCACAGAGGGTCTTCCCCTCCTGCGCTGTCCCTCCACCAGGTATTTTATTCAGTCACTCTTTTCACATTTTGTTTTATAACATTAATTGCAATGTCTGATCCACCTCTTATTGTGCATTGCCTTACCCCTCACTGAATTGTCTATTCAAGTTCTCCTCTCTTCTCCCTTCTTTCCCATCCCTGTCAACTTTGGCCATTCCCACATGTTTTCAGACCCCACACACTTCTCACGACATTAAATATCTTTAAAACTGCAGTTTACTGCACTTTGTTTATCCATTCATCCAATGAGGGGCGGTCAGGTTGCTTCCATCTTTTTACTCTCATGAAAAGCATTGAGATGATCATGCAGTATGTATGTCTATTCACAAAATGGCCATTTTTTAAAAAAATTGTTTTATTATTTTTGTGAGTGTAGCGTCAGATCAGATCTGACTGGTACAGGAGGAGATTGTCACACTTTCTCCAGCAGAGCATCTGGTGGATTCAAACCACACACCTCTGGAACTGCAGTGCAGCTTCTTGCCACTAGGTCACCAGAGCTCGCCCATAAAGCAGTTCTTAATTCTCTAGGATATATTCACAGAGGTGAGATTGGAGAATTGTATGATGCCTTAAAGTTGTGCTGGAGAAGAGAGTTGAACATACCATGGACTGCCAGGAGAACAAACAGATCTGTCCTGGAGAGGATGAAACCAGACTGTTCCCTGGAGACAAGGATTTTGAGGGTCTTTTTGACATACTTTGGGCACATGACCAGGAGGGACCAGTCCTTGGAGAAGGGACATCATGCTTGAAAGGGTGAGGGGACGGCGCAGGAGAGGAAGATCCTGGATGAGAGGAAGATCCTGGATGAGATGGATTGATACAATAAATGGGGCGATGGGATCAGGTCTGTCAGAGACGATGAGATTGGCTCAGGATAGGGAAGGGTTCAGAGCTGTTGTGCATAAAGTCACTCACTATGAATCATAGATGACTCGATGGCTCATAACAGCAACAACAATCTTTTGTCATATTCTGTATGTTCCTTTTATTTTTGTTGGTTCTGTTGTAATGTCATCCATCTCATTTCTTGTTTCAGGGTTTTTTGCACTGTTCTTTTTCCCCCCCCTTTGTCTGTTGTATTACTCTTTTGAGAGAACTTCTAATCTTGTTTCTTCTTTCTATTGGACTTCTGTTTTCTGATTTATTAACCTCCTTTAAATGTTAATATTTTGGCAATTCTGGGCTTCTCTGATGCTCTTTTTCTATTCGAGTTGTTAGATTATTCTTTTTTTGTTGCACATGGTTATTACTATACATTTACCCCTTGGTCCAGATTTTGCTGTCTTCCAGAGGTTTACGTATGTTATTTTTTCAATCACATTTCTTGTAGGATATTTTTTTCTTCATTCCATTTTCATTTTTTGACTATTTGTTATTCAGTTTCTATGTATTTTATAATTTTTCCCCTATTCCTCATTTCTAGTTTTATGGCCCTGTCATCAGATCACATGCTTTGTACTGCTTTGATATTTTTTAAAAATATATTGATTTGGGGCCTGACATATGATCTGTTCTGAAAACTGGTCTGAATTTGTTTGAGACTATTGTGCGCTGTGCTGCCACTGAATATTCAGATATGTCTGTGCAGTTAATTGTGGATAAATTGGTTAATTGTGATGTTTGACTGACTCATTTCTGTCAAGTCTTCAGAACCGATTCACAACTGACCCTTTGCAGGTTTTCAGAGGATATAAATGACACAAGAGGAGATTGTCCCATCTTTCTCCCAAGGAGCAGCTTGTAGTTTCAAACCAACAGTGCTCGGGTTAGCAGCACAACTCCTTACCTGCCAGGTCACAAGACCTTCCTGTTGTTGAGGTTTAAGTCTTCAGTATCTTGCTGAGCTGCTTTTTAGTGTTCTGTCCTACATTGAAAGTGGTATGTTAAAGTCTCCTATTTTCATGGAACTATTTCCCTTTTCAGTGCTATTAGAAATATCTGTATATATTTTGAAATACTATCATTAGATAAGAAATATTTAGTATTCATGTCTTCTTGGTGAATTGGCCCTTCCTTGTCTGGTGGACTATAAATTAAGATTACCATTTCCATTCTTTTTTGGTTGCAATTCGAGTGATAAATTGTTTCTATCCTTGGATTCTTAGCTTTCTTACTTCTTTATGTCTAAGTTATATCTCTTCTGGACAACATACTGATTGATCATGGTTTTTTAATATCTTTACTGTTGCATTATTCAATGTGAATATCAGTTGTTGTTGAGTGCTGTCGAGTCATAGACAACTCATAACGACCCTATGAACGAAAAGACCCATCTTTGGCTTAGTAGCATCACTTTCTGTCCACTAGGCCAACTGAGCTCTCTCTGTGGTGGTGGTGGTGTTAAGTGCCATCAAGTCATAGACTACTCTTGGGGATCCTGTGAACAAAAGACCTGAACAACTGTATAACTTTCATCATTTCTCCAAGTTCATAGAGTTTCCAGAGGCAAGATATTTCAGAAGTGGATGCCATTCCTGCTTCCAACCTTGTTTTACTTGGGGAACTCCACCAAACACTGTCCAGCATGGGTAACCATTATCGCATTTGACAAAACATCAGTGTCACAGTGTTTAGCATCACAACAACCACAGGTTACCTCTGTACAGCAAATGGACAGACCAGTGCTAAACCACTTAGAAGAATGTTTGACCAAAAACAATTAAAACGAGGCCCAAGGCCGCAGATTAAAATCACCCACCTTTGACTTGATAGCATAACTTTCTATTATTATTATTTATTATTAATTTTAATGAAAATTTACAGAGACCCTGGATTTCCATTCATTCGTTGTTGCACTTTTCTCCCTGCCCACCTCTCCCTCCCTCCCCCAGTTTGCTCTTCTCTTTGAAAAGTAAAAGAAAAATTTTCATTGTTACATAATTTCTTCCCCCAAGTCCACTCCACTATGCAGCCTTCATTCTGGACTCCTGTCATGACAGTAATACCTAATCACATATCCCTTCTAAACAGTTTTCTCCCTCATCTGTTTCAATGCAGTATACATAATTTATCTCCTCTTTCTCAGTCTCCCCCCAACTCTGATGTCAGTCCTGTTTTAAAACAGTGGCACTGTGCACTATTTGTCCTTTTGGGACTGAGATATTTCACTCAGCATAATGTCCTCCAGGATCACCCATTTTGTATAATATTTCATGAGTTCCTTGTTTTTCACTGCAGCTTAGTATTCCATTGTGTGAATATACCACAGCTTCTCTATCCATTTGTTTGTTGATGTTCCCAGCTTCCAAGGTTGTTTCCAACTCTTTGCTATTGTGAGAAAAGCCATGATAAACATGGGTGTGCATATATCTGCTTGGGTGGTGGTTATGGTTTCTTTGGGGTATATTCCCAGTAGTGGAATTGCTGGGTCAAATGGTATTTCTATTTGCAACTTTTTGAGAAAGTGACAGTGTTTTTAACAAACGGTGTTGGCAAAATTGGAAAACTATCTGCAGAAAACTCAAGCAAGATCCACACCTCACTCCATACACAAAAACAAACTCAAATTGGATCATGGACCTAGGACTAAAACCACGGACTATAAACTTTATTGAAGAAAAGCTTGGAAGAACTCTAGAAATCCTAATCCACATCGTAAACAGTCTTCCAAGCATCCTGAAAAATCTACAGCCAGAAGAGGGACCTTCTAAGAATCAAATCCCTATGCATATCCAAAAACTTCTCCACATCAGAGTAAAAAGGGAAGCCACAGATTGGGAAAAAATATTTGGTAATGACATGTCAGATAGGGGACTTACATCTAGCATTTATAAAATACTTGAGCACCACAACATAAAGGTCAACAACCCAATTGAAAAATGGGCACAGGATATGAACAGACACTTGACCAAAGAAGACATTCAGATGGTAAACAAACACATGAAGAAAAGTTCAAAATCCCTAGCTCTAAGAGAGACGAAAATCAAAACAACTGTGAGATATTTATTATCTTACCCCAGTAAGAATAGCAAAATTTAACAGAACAGCAAACAACAAATGTTGGCGAGATTGTGGAGAAACTGGAACCCTTATTCACTGTTGGTGGGAGTGTAAAATGGTGCAACACCTATGGTAGCATAACTTTCTATCCACCAGGCCCACAGAGCTCTCTCTAGGTTGATGGTGGTGTTCTTAAGTGCCGTCGATTTGTAGACCACTATGAATTAACAACAGGCATTTGGTTGTGTCTGTGTAGGTTACAGAGAACAGTTTCCTCTTTAGAGTCAAAATAAACCAGCTGTTACTCAGGCACTCCAAGGTTGTAGCAGCTTTGGTCTAGAATTTACATAACAGAATGATTCATAATATTTATGAGTTTTTGGGGTGCTTTTGCGAGAGTTTTGTGTTTTGAGTGCTTTTTTTTTTTTTTAATTTGTAATTCTGTTTCTAGTTTCCTGATATCTGAGAATGTTCTTTTTATTGTGAAAATTGTTTCTCCAGATTAAAGAACATGATCTCTTCTTTAAAGCAGTCAGTCTCTGTCACACAGTACAGATTAGCAGTGTTCAGACTGATGGCATTGGCGATGGTCCCTGGCAGTCTACCCTTACCTCTTCCCAGTTGGAGTACTATGCATCCTCCCCAGATGAAAAGGCTCTAGTGGAAGCTGCTGCAAGGTAATTTCATCTCATTTCCAGTTCTTCCCCCACCCTCCAATATTTTTTTTTTAATATGAAGCATTATGATATTAATCATTTTAAATTGGCAAGTACATATTCATCATTTTAAATTGCCTGGTTCATTTTAGTGCCTTTTAAATAATTCTTTCAATGAGAAATTGAAGTATGTTATTTTTGAGTTCTAGATTGCACTGGGCCATGTTTGAAAGTGACCTCATAAAATCTGATAACTATAAAAATCAAAGTAGTGTAATTTTGTGAAAGTACTTCTATGCAATCATCTTTTAAGTCTTTTAAGTTCTTCATTAACAGACATGAATAGGGGTTGCTCTGTGCCTGCTCTGATCCTTCAACTTCTTAAAAGTAATTACATAGTTAAAAGACATTTTTTTAAAAAATATCTAATGCTAAATAGTTTTTTAAATTGTCAGTAGGTTTTCTTTTTTTGATACTAGTTTATTTCATTCAAGCATAATTCATAATGAAACTTCATGAAACCACTCTTCAGTCTTATATTTCTTTCTCCTGTTAATCCATAGACTTGGCATTGTCTTTATTGGTAATTCTGAAGAAACTATGGAAGTTAAAACACTTGGAAAATTGGAACGGTAACTTTTTTCCTTATTTTGCAATTTTCTATTTATTGAGTATACAGTGTAGAACATGGATTGATAAACAGTGGCCTGCAGGTAAAATCTTTACAGTGGCCTAATTTTTGTTTAGTGGAAGAGGTATTTGGCATGGTTGTTCCCCTCCACTACACTCTACCCCAAAAGAATGTGCAACAGAGACTGTATATCCTGCAAAATCTAACATATCTTTAAAGAAAAAGGTTGCTGCCTTCTGCTCTTGAATTAAGTTATCGTATTGAATCTTGTAACAATAGAACTATTCTGTTGTGAATATTTCATCTAATCTTATAATTTATGTATTTGTTCGTTTGTACACTGTCCTAGAGTAAGGGGTTTCTTAAATTTCTATTCATTGAATGAAGGGAACCCTCTGTTTATTTCTCTTGGTTTTATCTTTTAAATATTAAGGGACAATTCTCTGTTTTATTATTCCTACTATTTGGTTAATTTGTCAATGCATAAAATGCTTAAACTTTTTATAATTTTATCAATTTTTATCATATCTCAACTGTAGCTTTACTTTTTCCAAATTACACTTTTCCTAACCAAATAAGGTTTATTCTTTGCTTACTTTTATGAGGGACCAGCCACTCTTACTCAGATCATCAATTTAGAAAACATTTCAAACTTTTATGTCAGATACTTTTATCCAAGTCCATGAATATGTTGTTATGTGCCACCAAATCATCTGTGATTCATAGCGACCCTATCTACAGCAGCTCTGAAGCCTGCTATGTCCTGAGCCAGTCTCACTGACTCTGACACAACCTACCCCCATTGCCCCAGTTACTGTATCAGTCCATCTCATCTGAGGTCTTCCTCTTCTGTACTGTCCCTCCACGCTTCAGAGCATGGTGTCCTTCTCCAAGGCCTGGTCTCTCCTAGCCACATGCCCAAAGTATGTGAGATGGAGCTTCAAAATCCTAACCTCCAAGAGAAACTTGGTTTTACCCTCTCCAAGACAGACCTGTTTGTTGTCTTGGCAGTCCACAACTCAAAGGCCTCAGTTTTTCTTCTGCCATCCTTGGTTGTCCAGCTCTCTGATGCATAGCAAGTAATTATAAAGACCATGGCCTATATCCTGTGCACGTAGGTCCCTGTTAGCAGACTTCCCCAGTGCAATTCGGTTTTTTATATCCTGACAGCTGATGCCAAAAGTGTTGATTGTGGATCCAAGCAAGCTGTAATTGCTAAAAAACTCAGTCTCTTCACCATCTATCTTGGTGGTGCCAGTTTGCCCAGTGGTGAGAATCTTTGTCTTCTTGGTGTTGAGCTTCAGGTCCTTGACTTTCTGCAGCAAACAATTCAGGCCCTCATTTTTGGCAACTAAAGTTGTGTCATCTGCATATCAATGGATTTTTGTTGTTAAGATGTACAAAGCGTTCCACATGTACATAATTGTATAAGATGTGTTTGGTCAGCTTGCAAGCAGCACTTCCTCTATGTACATAGTTTGGGTTTTTGTTGTTGTTGTTTTGTTTTGTCTTTTGACCGCTTGCTGAAAAGATTTTGTTCTGCTGCCTCCATACATATGCACCCTATTTTAGGTTTAGACTTACTGTTACAGGGAGCCTCTGTCACTAATAGGAGTGTATTGTGTATCTCAAGGTTGTTGGGATAGTGACAATGTTGGAGAGTTTCTTGGTTTTTTAAATGGGAAAAAGCATGGAGTTGAGCCTGTGCTTGCTCTGCCACTCATAAGCATATTTGACTTCAGGCAAATTACTTAATCTTGGTCTATTTAATAGTCCTCATTCATAAAATAACATAAGCCCCGTCTCTTTGAGTCCTCAAGGGTATTACATGACATAAGATGTAAAGTACATGACATTTGTTAAATACTCAGCAAATGTCAGTTCCTTCTGTTTCTAGCCTATATTATTATTAGTAACTTATAACCCATTATCTTGAAAATGTAGTAGAGATTTCTTGTTCTAAGTTAGCCATTTCATCTTTTATAGGAATCCTTTCCAGTTAGTCATTTAATACAATTTCTTTTTTTAATTAACTCTTTTCTTCCTTTTCATTAGATACAAACTGCTTCATATTCTGGAATTTGATTCAGATCGTAGAAGAATGGGTGTAATTGTTCAGGCACCTTCAGGTAACCAAACTAAAATGGTGTGAAAATTTGCTGATCTAATAATAAGAGCTTGATAATGAATATATATATATTTTAATTTTTTTAGGTGAGAAACTTTTATTTGCTAAAGGAGCTGAATCATCAATTCTTCCTAGGTGTGTAGGTGGAGATATAGAAAAAACCAGAATTCACGTAGATGAATTTGCTTTGGTGAGTGCAAATGTCTATTATCTTTAAAAACTGTAAAAGAAAAAAAAAAAAACTGTAAAAGATACATTTACTATACAACATGGATTTTATTTTCGCATTAAGAATTTACTGAAAAATAGAAAAGTAATGTTGTTTCTGCATGTTTTGTGTGTTAAAATTGGTGTCTGACCTAAAATATTCTTTGAACCAAATACCTTAAAGTCACTTTTGGTGGCAAAAACCTATCAAATATACTGTATTTTTTTTTTTAAAAAAAGACCTTCTTAAAAATTGTCTGAGAAGAATCACAAGATTCTGAGAAGAATCACAAGATGCAGAGAAACCAAGACCCTTACTTGTTACTAGTGGGATTATAAAATAGTGCAGTGACTTAGGAAACAGTTTGACAGTTCCTTAAAATGTTACCCTATGATCTAGCAAATACACTCTGAAGGAGATGCTGAGAAGAAATTAAAACAAACTCTGAGGCACAAAACTTTATACATAAATGTTCCTAACAGAAACTAGTTCTACTAACCAGTCAAAATGACTCAGATGTCCATCATTGTCCAATGAATGCATAAATAAAATGTGATATTTTCATATAAGAGTATTATCCAGTCACTAAAGGAATGAAATACAGATACATGTTATAGCATGTTTAAACTTAAAAAATTTTCTGGACAAAACAAACCACAAATCAGTTTATATCAAAAATCTAGAATTGTCAAATAGATTGGGACAGAAAGATAGATGCATAGTTGCCAGGGAATGCAGAAATGAGGAGTGGCTGCTACTGAGTATGGAGTCTCCTTATGAGATGGTAAATGTAAAACATGGTGCATATACTAAAAGCCACTGAATCAGATCCTTTAAAAAGGTAGATTTCATATAATTTATAATCTCTTACATAGAAATATGGAGGAATCTAAAGCCATTGTGGAAAGAGCAGCCTGGCTGGCCATTTGAGTCACCAATCCCAATGCCAGGCTGCGCAGCGAAGAAAATGAATAGAAGGCTTGTTTGCACATTTTATTTGTGCTAAATAAACTATAAAAACTGAAGAAAAAAAAGAAAGAAATATGGAGGAATCTTCAAAAACAAATGGCTATAATTCACGTTGGCCAAAAAATTTTGAACAGCCCTCCTTTTCAGACTTCGGGCCTGATTATTTCTCACTTCTGCATTTCAGTAAATATCTGTTTCATAATCCCTGCTCACTTATTTTACTTACTTATGGATGCTCCTAGGGTTTGCCTCTTAATGGTTTATGAACTGTTTCTTCCACCACATTATAGCATTCACAAGAACAGACATTGTTCTACTTCACCACCAGTTTAATATGCACAATAGTGCTGGAACATTGACCTTCAATAAATATTTGTTGTAGGATAAATGATTTAATATTTTGATAACTCTGGTCACCAATTAACTGTTATTTAGGGAAAGTTATTTATTGGTATGAGTCATTTAAAAATAATGTAAATATTTTTTAAAATCTGCCAAATAACATCACTTAAAATAATAATTTTAAGATATACCTTTTCCAAGTTGTGAGAGTAGAACAGTGGTTAGAAGGGCTTCTGAAAAAAACACTTAGGAAAACTTTTCTTTATTAACAAACTTTAAGAAATTAATGTCCTAAGAAAAACTGGGTGGCAATAATAGAGAGAGAGTGTGTCATTCCAAGTCACCAGTGTGTAAAACGATACAGTTTTAAACTGATCATTCATTGAATATAGAAAGTTGTTTGATATCAGATAATTTACGTAGTTCTTTATTTGATTGTCTAATTTTGGCAGACTTAAAAAAAAACTGTAACAGTTAAAACTGCAGAATAGAACCTGAACTTGCCTCTCAAGCAGTAGTACTGCAGACACTGTTAAAGCAGTGGGCCTTTCTTTGTAATGTTTTTAAATGACAGACAAAATATTCTGTGATCTTTCTGTGCTCTGATGGTCTGCATTTTAGTGACCATAAGTTTGGCCATTTTTTTTAAGGATTTATCATGATATAATAAAGCGATGATAATGTCCTCTAATTAAGATCATTGTGGGCAATGTAAAGCACATCATCTGAGTCTTACATGACTCATATATATGAGAGCTACTGGCAGAGAATGATGGAGCACCTTTAAAATTATTTTTCTGTCTGGAAAGAAGGCATTAAATTATCACAAGTATTGCTATTATTCGATTAGAGAATATTATCTGTGCCAATATTTTCCTCAGAATAATGATTAATTATTATTCAGTATTATTTCCTACCATTAAATAGTCTACATCTTAATTTCTAGGAGATGAAAATAAATGTATGTTTAAGAATGAAAGAAATGTGATAATTAGAGAAGTCTGAAATATTTGAGTATCTGTCTATTTTTAGAAATATAATGTTTACTGAATAAAGATCTATTTGAGCATCTGCTTATATGCAAAAGTGAATCATTTCTAGTCTGATCCCCAGTGATTCACAGTTAGTAGTGAAGCAGATCTGTAGACTCCTTCTCCCTGGAAAACATATATAATTCAGTTCTATAAGACAGCATTATGTACTATGAGTTTAAGGATAAAGAAACTGGAAAAAACATATATATGGAGACTAAGCTTGGCACATTACAGATAAGTTTTCTCTCATTCAATTCTCATTATTTCTTTGTGAGATAGGTGTAGTATATGTGAGGACACTAAAATTAAAAGAAAGCAAGTAACTGTCTGAAAATTTCACTACCAATGTAAAGCCAGGATTTGCCCTGAAGCCTTCCATTATACCATGCATTAAACATGTCTGTTTGAAGGAATCAAGAATAAAAGTGAGCAAAGACTTAGATGTGCTGATATCATGGAGTATGTTTCTTTTTTTTTTAATTGAGATTTTATTGTAAGATTATAAAACACTAGGATTTTCATCCACTCGTTGTTGCACATTTTCCTCCCTGTCTCCCTCCCCCAGTTCGCTTTTTTCTTTGGAAATAAAGTTCTTTCATTTTTATACAGTACCCACACACACACGCACCACCACTGTACTATGTAGCTATTATTCTGGACTCTTGTCATACCAATAATACTTAATCATATATTCCTTTTATACAGTTCTCTCCCTGGTCTGTTTCAATGCCATGTACATTATTTATCCCTTTAGTTTCCCCCTAACCCCCATGTCAGTCCTGTTCATAGCAGTGGCATTATGCAGTATTTGTCTTTTTGTGACTGAGATATTTCACTCAGCACAATGTCCTCCATGGTCACCTATTTTGTGTAATATTTCATGAGTTCTTTGTTTTTCAATGCTGCATAATATTCCATTATGTGAATATACCACAGCTTCTCTAGCCATTCGTTTGTTGATTAGTTCTTGAGTTGTTTCCAACCCTTTGCTATTGTGAACAAAGCAGCAATAAACATGGGTGTGTATATATCTGCTTGGGTGCCAGTTCTGATTTCTTTAGGGATATTCCCAGTAGTGGAATTGCTGGGTCATTTGGTATTTCTATTTCCAACTTTTTGAGAAAGCACCATACTGCCTTCCATAGTGGTGGCACCATTTTACACTCCCACCAACAGTGAATAAGGGTTCCAGTTTCTCCACAACCTTGCCAGCATTTGTTGTTTGCTGCTCTGTTGAATGTTGCTATTCTTCCTGAGGTGAGATGATATCTCATAGAGATTTGCATCTCTCTTAGAGCTAGAGATTTTCAACATTTCTTCATGTGTTTGTTCACCATCTGAATGTCTTTTTTGGTGGTGTCTGTTTATATCCTATGCCCATTTTTCACTTGAGTTGTTTACCTTTATCTTGTGGTACCCAGGTATTGTATAAATTGTAGATATAAGTGCCTTATCAAACATGTCATTACCAAATATTTTTTCCCAATCTGGCTTCCCTTTTTACTCTGTTGGAGAAGTTTTTGGATGTGTATAGATATTTGATTCTTAGAAGGTCTCATTCATCTAGTTTGTCCTCTCCTGGTTGTAGGTTTTTCAGAATGCTTAGAAGACTTCCTGTTGTGGATTAGTGCTTCTAGGGTTCTTCCAGGCTTTTCACTAATGAAGTTTATATATAGTTCTTGGTCCTTGATCCACTTTGAGCTGGTTTTTGTGTATGGTGTGAGGTGTGGGCCTTGTTTGCGTTTTCTGCAGATGGTTTTCCAATTTTGGCAACGCCATTTGTTAAAAAGGCTGTTGTTGCCCCACTTAACTGATTTCATCTCCTTGTCAAAAATCAGCTGACCAAAGATAGAAGGGCTGATTTCTGGGTTCTCAATTTTATTCCATTGATCTATGTGTCTGTCATTGTACCAGTACCAAATAGTCTTGACCACGACAGCAGTATAGTAGAATTTGAAATCAGGGAGTGAAATGCCTCCTGCCTTGTTTCTCTTTTCAAGGAGTGCTTTGATTATTCAGGGTCTCTTTCCATTCTAAATGACATTGGAGATTGCCTTTTCCAGCTCATTGAAGAATGCAATTGGTACTTGTATTGGAATTGCATTGAACATGTAGATTGCCTTTGGTAGGATTGTCATCTTCACAATATTGAGCCTTCCTATCCATGAGCAAGGTATATTCTTGCATTTCTCCAGGTCTCTTTGTTTCTTGTAGCAATGTTTTGTAATTTTCTTTGAATAGATTCTTTGTGTTTCTAGTTAGATTTACTCCCAAGTATTTAATCCTGTTGTTAGCTATTTTGATGGGTATTGTTTTCCTTAGCTCCAGTTCTATATTCTCTTTGTCACTGTAGAGATCCAATTGATTTTTGTGTGTTTATCTTGTATCCTGCCACTTTGCAGAATTGGTCAACAATGTCCATTAGTTTTCTTACTGAATCTTTAGGGTTTTCTAAGTATGCTATCATATCTTCTGCATATAGAGATAATTTTACTTCCTCTTTGCCAATTTAGATACCTCTTATTTCCTTCTTATTACTATCAGTAAGATTTCTAACACAATATTGAGTAGGAGAGGTGATAGTGGGCATCCTTGCCTAGTTCCTTTTCTCAAAGGGAGCCTTTAACTTCTCTCCATTGAGAACAATGTTGGCTCTTGGGTTTGCGTATATACTTTTTACAATGCTGAGGAAAATCCCTTATATTCCTATTTTGTTGAATGTTTTAATCAGGAAAGGGTGTTGGATTTTGTCGAAGGCCTTTTTCAGCATCAATTGATAGGATCATGTGGTTCTTGTTCTTTGATTTGTTAATATGATGAATTACCCTGATTATTTTTCTTGTGTTGCACCATCCTTGCAAATCTGTTATGAATCAAACTTGGTCATGGTAAATTCTTTTTTTTGATGTGTCATTGGATTCTGATGGCCAGGATTTTATTCAGGATTTTTGCATTTTTGTTAATGAGAAAATACTGACCTATAGTTTTCTATTTTGATAGTGTCTTTACCTAGTTTTGTATCAAGGATATTTTTGCATCATAGAATGAGTCTGGTAGTATTATGTCTTCTTCTGTTTTCTGAAATAGTTTGTGTGGTGGTGTTATTTACTTTGGTCCATTCTACTTTGTGTAGCACCTCTATAAGAAGGATGTCTCTTAGTGTTTCCTGCAGTGCTGGTCTTGTTTTTACAAACTCCCTTGGGTTCTGTTTTTCTGGCAATATCTTGATCTCTCCCTCATATTTGATGGACAATATTGCTGTATAAAATATTTATGGTTGACAATTTTGTGTTCTTTGAGTGTTCGATATATGTCATTCCGCTGTCTTCTTGCTCTCGTGGTTTCTGCTGAGATATTGGCACTTAATCGTATTTGCTCTCCGTTATAGGTTACTCTTTTTTTTCCTCCCTCACTGCTTTCAGAATTCTCTCCTTATCTTTGGTTCTGGCCAATTTATCTATGATCTATCTTAGTGTTTTTCTTTTGTGATCTGATCTATATGGTGTTCTCTCAGCTTCTTGAATATATATTCTGTCTTCATTATGCCTGGAAAGTTTTCTTCTAATAATTCTCCCACAACTTTTCCAGTGCCTTTATTTGCTTCTTCTTGCTCTAGGTTTCCAATTATGTGGCATGTTATTTCTCTTGATGCTGTCACACATTATTCTTAGGTTTTCTTCTTTTCCCTTCCTTTTTGATTCTGCTTTTTGTTCTAGCAGATCTGTGGTAACAATTCTGTCTTTTTTTCCACTGGTTCCATCTCTTCAACCCTATTCATGTATCCCTCCATCATGTTGACAGCATCTGAAGCATTGGTCCTCACATACTGGATTGTGGTTTCCTGTTTTTCCTGTGTCTATACTGCCTCATTTGTACTGTTTTAGATTTTTTTTAAGCTCTTCCTGTTTTTTGCTTGCAATGTCCTGTAATTCTTCAAATTTGTCTTTCACCCTTTATTCAGTCATTGTTCTTTTAAATTCTTTGTCAGAAAGCTTCATCAGACTTTTGGCTTCCAGAAATCCATTGATACTGTATCACTTTTTTGGGGGTGACATCTTGCTTTGGGCTTATGTAGGGGGTGAGGTAGCCTGCTTCCTATGAGACATTGTTGTGGTAGAATTTTTTATGTCTGAGGTGATAGCTGGTTCTTGATCTGAAGTAACTGCACCAGAAGAGGTTGGGGCAGCTACTCTGCCTGAGTTTTTCTCTGCCTTCTGACCCAAGTGAAAATATGCTTCAGTTCTCTAGAGAAAATGCCAGTGTGATTAGCCTCCTCTGTCAAACAACTGCTGCAGCTAGGGTAGCCCAAGGTGTTCTGGGCTAAAGGCAGTTGATGGGCTGGATGTGAGTAGCTGCAAGGTGGAGCAGAGAGACCTGATTGAAAAACCAGGAAGCCTTGATTTTCCCTTCAAGAATGAGCTCCAGTTGAATCATTCCCTTCTGATTGAGCTTAAGGAGTCCCTCATGCTCCAGCCAAACAACCGTTAGACACACACACACACACACACACACACACACACACACACAGTACCTCACTCAAGTTCCAGCATCACTCCTGGTGAACATCAGCTCCCAGCATGTGCATTGGCATCAGTACTGGAATTCCAGGCATGGGCCATTGACATCTGGACCAGAGTTCCTGGTGCGGGATGTCAGCATCAGGACCAGTTCTGGGTGCAGGGCATCAGCACCAGAGTTCCAAGTGCTTGCTGGCAGCATCAGGACTGGTTTTCCCAGCACAGGGCATCAGCATCAGGACGAGGGCATCTGTGCCAGGGCCAGTGTTACAGAAGCAGGGAATCCGACACAGTCAGGCAGTGACAGGACTAGAGATCTGGACTCAAACTAAGAAATTTTTAAGGCACGCACCTAGTTAATTGACTGGATTCACGGAGTAGAATCGATTCAGCGGAGTATTTTTTCTTAATGTTACTTGTTTCTTACAACTAGATGATAATTTTTCCTAATTAATTCACACTTGATTTTTCTGGCAGTAGGGTCCTTTATTTCAACAATTTCTTAATTTCACATTAGTTATTCCGTTTTTGTTCTAGAAAGGGCTGAGAACTCTATGTATCGCCTATAGGCAGTTTACACCTAAAGAATATGAGATAATAGATAGACGCCTTTTTGAAGCCAGGACTGCCTTGCAACAACGGGAAGAGAAATTGGCAGATGTCTTCCAGTTCATAGAGAAAGACCTAATATTATTAGGAGCCACAGCAGTGGAAGACAGGTAAGTATCAAATAAGTATACTGTCTTGTTTTCCCTTCATGTAAATGTTTCTCTAGCCAAGTATTCCATATATATATATATTCATCCTGTAGTAGTATATTTAAAACAAAAATCCAGGGCTAAAATTTTAATTATCCCCATTTTATAGTACATTTTATATTCTAATGAAACACCTAAAGTAGATGAAGCTAATAACCTTTCTATAGTTTGCCTGTGGGCTTGCATTTTTAAAATATTCCTTAGTGTACTATCTAAGACCTTAATAATACAGTTCCTGCTAATTTTCCAGTCTCCCTTCCCACTACTGCCTCTTCCATTTTATGGTTTGATAATGCTAAACTTAGTTCCCTCTAAATGCCAGCTGTACAATTAAACTATTTTGTGCCTTTTCTCCTTGGCAAGGTCGTGTCTTCTCCCTTGATTTGTCTTCCCTTCTTTATCCATTTCTGAAGACTTACTCTTAAAAAGGATAGCCCAGATACTACCTCTGACTCCATCGGGCCTGCTTTGACCCTTTCCTTTTTCTTCATTCTTTAGATTTTGTATTTTGTAGGTATTTCAATTGTTTTCCTTGTAGCACTATATTCTAATTATTTGCTGAAGAGTTCTCCTCAGTTAACCCCTAAATTCCTTGAGTACTTTAATATTCTGTCTTTTCCCCCTCATTATCTCTTTGTCAGATTCACAGTTTCTTGAATTAAATTGCATTCTGAAAATTCAACCACAGTTAAAATTAAATTGTGGCCTTTTTCTCAAAACAAAAAAAAAATCTGCTTTTGATTTGAAATTCAAGACTTTATGTATTTATTGAGATCATATAGTTTGGTTATATAAAAATCCCCTTTGAAGATGCACTATTAAAATATGAAATTAGACATTTTAATTCACTATTTTCGCTAGCCAGAGTATCACTCATAAATTTATTCTTATTTCTTCTCTTCAATGAGAAGATGCTAATTATTTTGCTATACCTATAACTTTGTTAGGTTATGGAGTCAGAATTTCCCTTATCCATTAGACTATGTAGGTCAGAGATGGTGAGGATGGCACAGGATAGGTCAGGATTCAGATCTGTTGTTTTTAGGGTCTTTATAGGTTGTGCTCATCTTAACAGCCCCTAAAACAACATTAGACTATGTGGCTAGTTCTTAAAATACAGAAAAACTTATTTTTCTTACCAAATTTGTTTCTTCTGTTTTCAGACTACAAGATAAAGTTCGAGAAACAATCGAAGCATTAAGAATGGCTGGTATTAAAGTATGGGTACTTACTGGAGATAAACATGAAACAGCTGTTAGTGTCAGTTTATCATGTGGACATTTTCACAGAACCATGAACATCCTTGAACTTACAAACCAGAAATCAGACAGTGAATGTGCTGAGCAATTGAGGCAGCTCGCCAGAAGGTAAGACTATAGAGATCTTGATCAGATAGTTCATGGCCTATGGGGCAAGTCAGCCCACAGTCTGTTTGAAATAGCTCTAAGCTAAAAGTAATTTTACATATTTAATGATTGAAAAGAATCATAAAATGAATATTTTATGAAATGATAAAGTTTTATGAACTTCAAATTTTAATATCACTTGCAAGAGTGGCATCCACTTCCTAAATAACATGCCTCCAGAAACTCTGAACTTTGATAAATGTCAATAGTTGTAAAGGGGCTTCAAGCCTTTTGTTCATAGGGTCTCTATGAGTCATGCTTGACTCAGAGACAACAACAACAACATCTTAAATAATTATTTAAATTTTGTTTAATAATTTTTATTTTATTATCTTTTTAATTTTTAATTATTTTTATTATTCTATATTTATTTATTACTATTCCTTTAATAATTATTTAAATAATATTTTCGTGGAATATATTACCTGTGGCTACCTTGCCGGTACCTTCCTCAATAGTTATGACAGAGACTCTGAAAGGTACTGTTATCATTTCAGTTGCTCCTTAATATTATTCAGACCTGATAAAATGCATGTAGTTATAGTTATTGCACTCACCTTGAAGGCAAACAGTTTAGCGTCTATGATTTTACAGACATCTTACTTAAAAACAGAGTAAGAGTCTGCTCAGGAGCAGAATCTGCTAAACTGGATGGATACATAATGGTAAGCTGTAGTATTTTGTATATTGTGTATGTAGCATTGTACTACCATGCATACTGGCCTTACATAAAGGAACCTGCACCAGAATAAAACTGGAAACATCTCATCATTGAGAAAGTTTTATGAGGAATGAAGGAGCAAAGTTGTACATAGTTTGCTCATGATGTAGTTTATCTAAATACTTTCTGATAATAAATGGTGGAGTGCTCAGCTACCAAAAGCAGACCACAATTTGAATAACTCCTGGATGGCCACACCAAGATTGTTATCATTGCTCCATTATGTCTGATGTTCCAGTCTTACTTCACGGGCTAACATTAAGAGACAGTACTGATTCTTTCAGGTTTTTCTACTTACACATATAAGGGATCCTACTCCTAGATGTTCTTTAGTATTCTTGACTTCACTTTATTTAGGAGGATCTACTAATGAAGGCTTTTTATACAGTTTAAGAATATCCTTTATTAGATTGTGTCAAAATTGAGTTTAGAAAATGTAGTTACTTTATATATCAGTTAATTGCAAAATTGCTATCACCTATTTTATCAATCATATTAGTGACTCTCAGTTCTACATAACCTTAACTCTCAGGCCAGAAGGCTGAGTTTGTCTCCTGACATAATAGTAAAATTTATAGGTTCATTTTTTAGTAAAGGAGCTCTGATGGCCTCCTGCTACATGTTGTTCACCTAACCAAATTTTAGTTGTTTGAATCTACCATCTGCTCTGAAGGAGTCTCCATGCATAAAGATTTACAGCCTTGGAAACCCAGTGGAAAGTCACCTTGAGTGGGAATGAAATCAGTGGCAGCAAGTTTGAACTTTCAAGAAGAATCTTTAGTTACTATATGAATGCAAATAATAAGCCTTCACAATATCGTACAGAGGACATAATTATTTTCTCTCTTAGAATTACAGAGGATCATGTGATTCAGCATGGGCTAGTCGTGGATGGGACCAGCCTATCTCTTGCACTCAGGGAGCATGAAAAACTGTTTATGGAAGTTTGCAGAAATTGCTCAGCTGTCCTGTGTTGTCGTATGGCACCACTACAGAAAGCAAAAGTATGTATGAGTATGTAAGTTCCAGAAAGATATTTAGAACAAAACTTACTCTTTAAAGATGATATCTTATCTGGTTCTATTTCATGGTGTACAGTATGTGAATATAGTGTAGTATGAATTTCAGTTCTGTACATTGTTGTTTTTACTATGTGCCATCATGTTGCCTGCAAATCATAGCAACGCTGTGCACAACAGCTCTAAAGCCTGCCCTATCCTAAACCAGTCTCAGTGACTCTGTATCAGTCCATCTCATCCAGAGTCTTCCTCTCCTTCACTGTCCCTCCGTCCTTCCAAGCATCATGTCCTTCTCCAAGAACACATGCCTAAAGTATGTGAGATAGAGCTTCAAAATCCTAGCCTCAAAGGAGAAACTCAGTTTCACCCTTTCCAAGACAGACTTCTTTGTTTTCTTTGGGGTTCCATAGTATGTTCAAGACTCTTTTTCAACACCACAACTAATATTTAGAATGAATATTAATATTTCAACTATTCATAAGTACCTAGAAAGTCTGTACTAAGTTGCAGTCTGTGGGTTTACCAAGATGAGTCACACATTTGACCTGCTATTTGCTGGTTACAAAAGTTAGTTACTAGCTAATGAAAGAGACACGGAGGCTTGATTCATCTGCATGTTCAAATGACTGTTGATCTCTGCTCAGTCCTGCAGTTTCATGGATTGATTATTCTATCTTCATGTTAAAATGGCTATCAAATGATAAATAGAATTCAGTGGATAAAAGAGAAGCCAATTAGTTTGTGATGCAAAACTATAAACATGGATTTGAGTGTTTTGTGTCATGTTAAAGTAATATAAAGAAAGTATTTTAATTTAATTTTTATAATAATAGTTCCTATTTGTTAAAAAATAAATCTGGTGCTTAAGTGGTAAGGAATTGCTCTGCTAACACAAATGCACACAGTTCAAATTCATTCACAGACTGCCCTACAGGACAAAGATTTGCAGTTTCCTCCTTTGTGATTTACTGCCTCTGATAACTCACTCACTGACGGGCCAACTATGGGTTGGAGCTGTCTCCACAGTACAGCTCTACAGCAACAAAATGTTAAATGTTTGTTCTGTTTGGGACATTATGCTAAGCATTTTGCCTTCATTGTTGAAGCAAATATGAAATAATCAATTATATTCTTTGGTTTCCAAAAGAGGTAGTTAACATTAGAGAGGGTAACTATTTTAGGCAGGGCGGTATTCTCACTGTGTGCCCTTTTATCAGATTATGTTCACCTTTGGACTGTTAACCTAAAAGTTGATGGTTTCAAACTCATCCTCCTAAATTTAAAAACCCTTCTTTTGGAGCAGTCACCACAAAAAAAAGGAATAAAAAAAACCACACCAAACCCCTTCTTTTGTTTTGAGTTTAACTTTGTTTACTTATAGAAATTTCATGTATTGCAAACAAAAATAGTTGTCTTTCCTCAACATTGAAGAAAAGTAATTCTTTAAGATAAAAATATTTTGTGTAAGTGCAATTAGTTTACAAATAAAATTTGTATTAAACTTTTAAAAAATACAAGCTGTGTTTAAAAAGGTTCTTGCTCCCTATTAGAAAATGCAAAGATAAATACTGGTACTCTTGTAATGCAACCAAAGTATTTTATTGTTGTCCTCCTGCTGAGAGCAGTTGATGAATTAACTAGCTATAGTTTAGTTTCATGGTAAGATGGAGATGTTTGGTCTCAAACATTTAAAAAAAAAATTCAAAGATAATCTTTTTTGTTAAAACATATCTGAAAAACATCTTGATAGAGTCATTCTTCAAAAAAAAATGAACCACATTATGAAATACTATATAGAGTTGAAAATATTTTTTCTTTTCCTGTTCTTACCACACAGTAATTTCAGATGAAGGGTTATACTCAAAAGAAAACTAAAATTGTGCCATACTTGCATGTCTTTCAGGTCATAAGACTGATAAAAATCTCACCTGAGAAACCGATCACGTTGGCTGTTGGTGATGGTGCAAATGATGTAAGCATGATCCAGGAAGCACATGTTGGCATAGGTGACTGACTTTTTTTTCCCCCCCCTGCATTTCTGAAGTTGATCTAAATATTAGATAGTTTTGAATTTTCATTGTATAGATCATTTCTCATATCAAGCCTATTTCATATGTTTTAATTCCAAATTTCAGGAAAGTAAGTGCTACATTAAAGAAATTTTAGCTTTACCAGTTCATCTTAATGTTTTAAAAACCAAACATCTCTTTGTATACTATTTTGTACCATTTAGACTACTCTTGTACATTATTTTGTGCACTATTACTGTTATCTCTTTTATTATAATAAAATTTTAAGTGTGTCTTAAATAGCCTTGCAGTTATGTCTGCAGGAATTTGTTTTAAGAAAATCATTTCCTTATTAATGTAGATCTGTATTATGAACAACATGTGTTTTGTAGCAAAAACAACTCACAAAACAAATACTATCTTGTATGCATCTCCATGTGTATATATGTAGTAATCATGTACGCTAAAGTAGGAGGAGCATGTTTAGAAGGATATAGACCAAAACCAGTGGTGGTTTTCCTAGTCATTAGGATTGTAGGTAATTCTCTTTCTACACTTGGCTACATTTGACCCATTTATGACAAAAATTTAATTTTGAGAAACAATTTTTGAGAGCTGCTTTCAGATGGAAAAACTAAAAAACTTAGGATAACCTAAAAAGTACTCATTTTTCAGATGAAATTATGTACTGACTTTAAATGATGTCATGTACTTTTCTTCTTAAACAACACACTTTATGTATGAAAGTTTTAAAACAATTAAGACCACTCAAGTTTGTGTTGGGTTGTTTTGGGGTTTTTTTTCCTTTTTGCCATGTTCTCAGTATTTTTAATGCTCACTTGAAATAGTGGCATTAAAGTATTTTATAGCAGTGTGTCTATTGAGAGTCTCGATTAACAACATTTGCTTTCAGGTGTACTTTCTATACCTGCTAGATCCTGAACTTTTTATATTCAGTTTTTCTATTTTGTTGTATTCTCATTCTTTGAAAATGTACTTTAATAACAGCTACATGCTGAGTTTTATTTTGTTTTGTAGGACAAAATAGATAGATTTATTAGAAAGTTGCATCCCCAAAGACATGGACCTTCCTCCTTGAAAGGAAGTAGGGAGAGAGGCCTGGTTAAGGAGCTCTAGTGGTATAGCGCATAGCACATTGAACTATAAACCAAAAGGTTGACTGTTTGAATCTGCCAGCTGCTTCAGTGGAGAAAGATAGGCAGCCTCCTCCAGAGAAACACGAGGAAGAGTAGCTTTGAATGGGCATCCACTGGATGGCAGTGGGTTTAGTTTTTCAATTTGCCATTTAAGAATTCTTGGTGACATAGTGCGTAACACATGGAGCTGCCTGCTAACTATAATAAAGGTTCGCAATTGCAGTCCTCCATCTGCTCTGTAGGAAAATGGAGCGTTTCCTAAAGATTTACAGCCTGTAGGATCACTATAAGTTGGAATTGACTGACAGTAATTTGATTATTATTTTCATTCTGGTAGATGTTACATATTAGGATTTAATGTTCTTCAGTTGGTTCAGCTGCTGCTAAGATACCCAGTGCCATCAAGCCAACATCTAGCAACAGTCAACCACCATCAGGTTTCCCAGGCTCCCTCAGAGCAGCTGGTGGATTCAGACTACTGACCTTTTGGTTAGTGATGCCACATGCTACATCACCAGTTAATCTAAGATATTTGCATATGTTGTTGTTGTTGATTGCCTTTGAGTTGAGCATGACTCACAACAACTCTATGTACAAAAGGCCTCAAGCCCCTCTGCAACTATCAAAGTTCATAGAGTTTCCAAAGGCATGTTATTTAGGAAGTCAGTGCCACTCCTGCTTCCAAACCTGTCATAGTTTTTTATTGTTATGTGCATTTGAGTCGCCTGTGACGTATAGTGACCCTATGTACAGCAGCTCTGAACCCTTCCCTATCCTGAGCCAGTCTCACTAATTCTGACACACCAATCCCCGTTGCCCCAGTTATTATATCAGTCCATCTCATCCAGAGTCTTCCTCTCCTGTGCTGTCTGCCTGCCCTTCCGAGACCTTCTCCAAGGACTGATTTCTCCTGGCCACATGCCCAAAGTAAGTGAGGTGGAGCATCAAAATCCGGCCTCCAAGGAGAGACTTGGTTTCACCCTCTCCAAGGACAGACCTATTTGTTTTCTTGGAAGTCCGTGATGTGTTCAAAACTCTAAGGTGTGTTCCACAACCCTAAGGCAGCTATCTTCTGTTATCCTTAGTCATTGTCCAACTTTCCGAAGCATAACAAGTAATTGAGAAAACCGTTGCCTGGATTAGGCACACCTTTGACATCGTTGCTCTTCAACACTTTGGAGAATTCCATGACAGCAGATTTTTCCCAATGCAATTCATCTTTTTTTTTTTAAAAAAAAAATTATTTTTAATTTCAATAAAAATTTACAGAGACTTTGGATTTCCATTCATTTATTGTTGCACTTTTCTCCCCTCCCAAACCTCCCCCCCAGTACACCACCCTCTTGGAAAAGTAAAAGAAAAATTATTTCATTGTTTTACAATCCCTCCCCTCAGGTCCATTCCACTATGCAGCCTTCACTCTGGAGTCCTGTCATGACAAAAATACCTAATTACATACCCCTTTTAAACAGTTTTCTCCCTCATCTGTTTCAATGCAATATACATTATTAAACCCATCTTTCTCAGTCTTCCCCCTACCCCAATGTCAGTTCTGTCTTACAACAGTGGCACCATGCAGTTATTTGTCCTTTTGTGAATGAGATACTCCACTCAGCATAATGTCCTCCAAGGTCACCCATTTTGAATAATACTGCATGAGTTCTTTGCTTTTCAATGCAGCATAATATTCCATTGTGTGACTATACCATAGTTTCTCTGTCCATTCATTTGTTAATGGGCCCTAGGCTTGTTTCCAGCTCTTTGCTATTGTGAACAAAGCTGTGATAAACATGGATGTGCATATATCTGCTTGGGTGTCAGTTAGCAATTCATCTTTTGATTTCCTAACTGCTGGTATTAAGAGTGTGGATTGTGGATCCGAGCAAGCTGTAATTGCTAACATCAATAAAAATTACCTTCAATAAACTTTCCCCTTTTTTTATTCCTTTATTTACAGGAATCATGGGGAAAGAAGGAAGACAAGCTGCACGAAACAGTGACTATGCAATAGCTAGATTTAAATTCCTCTCCAAACTGCTTTTTGTTCATGGTCATTTTTACTATATTAGAATAGCAACCCTTGTACAGTATTTTTTTTACAAGGTGAGTTTGTGAAGATATTTTAGAAACAAATACTATTACAATAATTTTATATTTTAATTTAACAGACATTACTACCATATAAATTATTCTTAAATGGGGGGGGATCATTTTGTTAAATCTGTTGTGATTCATTTAACTTAGATTGATAGATCAGTGGTTGCTTGAGACAGAGAGTGGAAGTTATAGAATTTACTGTAAGAAAATGCAAGAAATATTTTGTATCATAGAAAAGTTCTCTAATGTGATTACGGTGGAGGTTACATGGCTGCATAAATTTGTCAAAGTCATCAGTGTATCTTAAAAATTAACACATTTTATTCTATGCAATAAAGTTGATTGCCCAGAACTAGTAATAAGTAATAAATTTTAACTCCAGTATGTTCAGGCGGTCATTACAAAGACAGAAGAGGAAGAAAAGACCAAAATGGATGTCAGAAGAAACTCTGAAGATTGCACTGGAACGTAGAGAAGCCAAAGCACAAGGAAGAATCCAAGACACTGAAGAGCTGAACAGAAGATTCCAAAAGGCAGCACAGAATGACAAAGCAAAATACTACAATGAAATGTGCGAGGAGCTAGAGTCAGAAAATCAAAAGGGCCGAACTCGTTCAGCATTTCTTAAGCTCAAGGAACTGAAGAACAAATTCAATCAAGGATGCTTTAGGCAGAATGTTAAATGATCCAGGAGGTATCAAAAGAAGATGGAAGGAATGTACTGAGTCATTGTATCGAAAGGAATTGGCAGATACAGAAGAATTTAATGAAATAGCATTTGAGCCAGAGCCTATGGTGATGGAGGCAGAAGTTCAAGCTGCTTTGGAGGAAATAGCAAAAAATAAGGCCCCCAGAATAGATGGTATACCAATTGACATATTTCAGCTAACAGATGCTGCCGTGGATGTGTTCACCAAGTTGTGCCAAGAAATCTGGAGAACAACCACTTGGCCAATTGACTGGAAGAGGTCTATATTTGTTCCCATCCCAAAGAAGGGCGACCCAGCTGAGTGTGGAAACTATAGAACAATATCATTGATTTCACATGCAAGTAAGATTCTACTGAAGATTATCCAAAAACGAATGGAACAGTACATCAGCAGAGAACTGCCAGAAGTCCAGGCTGGGTTTAGAAGGGGTCGTGGTACTAGAGATATTGTTGCTGATGTTAGATGGATCTTAGCTGAAAGCAGAGAATACCAGAACAATGTCTGTCTGTGTTTCATTGATTATGCAAAGGCATTTGACTGCGTGGGTCATAACAAACTCTGGCTGACTCTGAGAAGAATGGGAATCCCAGAACATTTAATCGTGCTAATGCGAAACCTATACTTGGACCAAGAGGCAGTAGTCAGAACAGAGCAGGGCAGCACTACATGGTTCAAAATTGGGAAGGGTGTACGCCAAGGATGTGTCCTGTCTCCATACCTTTTCAACCTGTATGCAGAGCAGATTATCTGAGAGGCTGGGCTCTATGAGGAGAAGCGTGGCGTTAGGATTGGTGGACAATCTATCAACAATCTGCGTTATGTAGATGACACAACCCTGCTTGCTGAAACTGAGGAGGACCTCATGCACTTACTGCAGAGGGTCAAGGACTGCAGCCTTCAGTATGGACTGAGGCTCAATGTCAAGAAGACAAAGATTCTCACCACTGGACCAATTGGTAGCATCAGGATGGATGGCGAAGAGATTGAGATTGTTCACAGCTTCAGTTTGCTCGGCTCCACGGTCAACACTCTTGACACCAGTAGCCAGGAAATCAAAAAACGTATTGCGATGGAAAAGTCTGCAGTTAGGGACCTCTCTAAAGTACTCAAGAGCAACAGTGTCTCTCTGGAGACTAAGGTGCACCTGATACAGGCCATGGTTTTTGCAATCACTTGTTATGCATCAGAGAGTTGGACAATGACTAGGGAGGATAGAAGGAGAATTGACGCCTTTGAGCTGTGGTGCTGGAGAAGAGTACTGAATGGACCATGGACGGCCAAGAAAACAAATAGATTCATCCTAGAGAGGGTTAAAGCAGGCTGCTCTTTGGAGACAAGGATTCTGGTACTTCGCCTGACATACTTTGGACATGTAAGGAGAGACAGGTCTTTGGAGAGGGACATCATGCTGGGCAGAGTGGAGGAACAGCTCAGGAGGGGAAGACCCTCTATGGGGTGGATTGATTCAGTGACGGGTAATCGGGATGGGTGTGTCAGAGGCAATGAGATTAGCACAGGATAGAGCAGGGTTTAGGGCTGTTGTACATAGGGTCGCTATGAGTCACAAACGACTCAACGGCACATAACAACAACAATGTTCAAGAAGAGATTAACAGTAAAACGTACAAATTCTTCAGTAAAGAGCTTTTATATGTATAAAATAAAATTCAAAGGTTACAAGGAAAATATGTTCAAATACTACTCATCTCTGGAAACTGGAGAAATGTGAGAGTGTTTGGGATCCATATTACAAATTCCTAGGATCAAAGGCACTGAATGTACCCAAGTACGCTATCATGTACATTCCTGTAGTTAATAATGCCTTGGAGCTGCGTGCCCCTGAAAGAGGGCTAGTAGATAAGGGGTTCTTCATGGATGGTGCTTGATTGAACTCTAGGGTTTACTTGTAACATGAGTATATTGGGTTCCATGTTTTGTGTTTTAATTATTCCGTTTTTATCTATTACAACCTTAAGGCTTAAATCTTATTGTACGATTTCTAAAAATAATGGAAGGTTTTAAATTCAGAGGTGTTTATTTCTTGGCCATAATAGAAATCAGTAATATTTTCATTCCAATATTTATATTGCTGCTTAGAACACTTTTAGATGTTTTTAGTAAATGGAACTCCTCCTTACCCATTTTATAGAATAGGACCTTTATGGATAGATCATCAGCTTTCTTTGTCAGCTGTAATTATGTTTCTAAACTCTTTGGTATCTATTGATTTCAATTAAAAGTTTTTAAGTTTATTTAGTATGTTGGTTTATTTAAAAATTAAAGAGTAAAATCAATATAAGTGATGTTATTTTTTTAGAAATGTGTCTTTTAGTCCTAAATATTTTCATATTTCCCATGTAATCTTGTTTTTCAGAATGTGTGCTTTATCACACCTCAATTTTTATATCAGTTCTACTGCTTGTTTTCTCAGCAGGTGAGTAAATATAAATTTGTGTTTTCTTTCAGAATGCAGTATATGTGTTCAGTTTTTGATAGACACTTGGGGAGACATTTTACATTATTCTTAATTTCACAAGTAACTAGACAAAAGCTTTTCTGATGAGTTTATGTAATCAATATAATACTCATAGTATTTGTTTATTTTCGATTACAGTCTCAGATAATTTTTTATACTGATTTTTTAAAATTCTAGATGCTTTTAAAAATTAGATTGTCAATCTGAGGTTATCAGCTAAAGCTGATTCTCAGATTCTGTGGCCAGTTGGGAAAAAAAGCCTGAGGAGCCCAGAGAATCTTAGGCTTCACTTTATTACAGCCCACAGAGACTCTATGGAGGAGGCAAGCCACAAAGCCATGCAGGAACTTCCCACAAAATTCATAGAGTACTCAGTACAAAGGAGGCATCCTAGTATACTCGGCACAGTAATCACTTACCCTAACTTAACCACCTGTGCAGTTACACTTAGCTTTACATAGCAGTGATTCAGCAAAACATTACTGCTCTTACTCAAACATAGCTGTGGTTCAGCTAAAAACTGCTTGTCACGTTACGGTAGCAGAATCTTTCTGTTGGGTATATACAGCACATTACAGTATCCCACATTGACACTTTCCAGGTTTATGAGGAAATTTCAATAATGTGGTTCAACTTATCTCTGATGTTTCTTTCTGTAGAATCTTATCAAGGCAATATAGATAACTTGGAGGTTTGTTTCAGTACTCATTTTTTTTAAAATAACTCAGAATTCTTTTTATTTGGGAGGAACCTTTTGGTGTGTCTTTAGCACAACATGCTACAGAGTAGGCCCATAGATCTCCTTTCTATTTAGAAGGAATCTTAGTGATTGAGTCCAGGAATGACATACAGGTTTTCTCTCACAGCCTACCACTAACTAATTGACAGGGCCACCTGATGTATGGTATTAAAAATTCCGACGCTGTAGATGAAGAGGTTGGGAAAGCTGTAATTAATTGATGATGGCTGCATTGGGCACCAGTAGTGGTTACAGACTCAGTGCTTAGGCACTTGGCTCCTAAACAGTTAGCAATTAGAAATGAATTTTGGGTTAAATGGAGAGAAAAAAAAAATCCATTTTTTTTAAATGTACTTTTTTGTGATGACATACGAAAGTATGATTGTAATATATAATTTAAAATAGCTACCAATTTCTCTTTTTAGACACTGTATGACAGCGTGTACCTGACTTTGTACAATATTTGTTTCACTTCCTTGCCTATTCTGATATACAGTCTTTTGGAACAACATATAGACCCTCACATATTACAGAGCAAGCCCACTCTCTATCGGTAAGTATTTTCCAGTATTATGCAATGTTATAACATTTCTGGTTATAACCTACATATTCAACAGTTATTAACTTTTAAAGTGCCTATGAATATACAGATATATTCATTTTCACTAATGTTTGGTGATTAAAACTTTACCAAGGGAATTACTTAGCTCACTGTGTGGAATATCGAAGAGAAAATTTGAATAATATTTTCACTGTTATTAAAAATGGGTCATTTCATTCTAGGACTGCATTGAACAATCACTGTTTATGGTTTCCAACAGTTGTTTAATAATTATTGTTGTGTACCTTGAGTCAGAACTGACCCACAGCTGACCTCTAGCTGGTTTTCTGAGGCAGTTAATCACACGGGAGGAGATTACCCATCCCTCTCCCACAGCAGCTGATGGATTTGATCTGCATGCCTTTTGAATTGCAGCACAGCTTCTTACTATGAGGCCACCAGTGCTCCCTTGTTTAATAATTAATAGTGGCTAAAGCTCTGGCGGCTTAATGGTAAGGAATTGTGCTGTCAGTGCAAAGGCGCACTATTCAAATCCACTAGGTGCTCCATGGAAGAAGGATGGGCAGTCACCGCCCCTGCAGTTTTTACTGCCTCTGAAAACCTGTTGGAGGGTCAGCTGTGTGTCAGTTCAGACTCAATGGTACACAAAATAGTTTGGAAATAAAAAATACCTGCTGAATGATAAAAACCAATTAATAGTGAGCAGTGCTAAAGGTGCCCTTGTGACACAGTGGTTTTGCACACTGCTGCAAACAAAAAATTCTGCAGTTGGCTGTGTGAATCTGCTCCCATAAAGACTGGAAGCCTGCTGGGGCCGTTCTGCTGTGCCATGTTGAGTCACTGGCATCACTGTCAGTCAAGATTGACTTGAGTTAATCAGTGCAAAACTCAGAGTTGAGGATACTCATTCCAGCCTCATATAGCCCGGGCTGCTCATTTTCTGTGATGTGGAACATATGTTGAGGGACCAGCTTAGGGTCCCTATTTTAGTCTGACTTCAACTCTTATAGGAGGCATGCACCTAGGTTCCAGAAACGCTAAGTTCCTTTGATTTTTAGTTTGACTCCACATGAGTGCAGACTGTTTCTTCCATAGTACGTACTGGGCTAAGCCTTGATAGAAATGAAACTGAAGGAGCCTCAGTGCTCAGCCTAATTCAGGTGACTCCACTTAAAAGAGACCATGACTGCCAAGTGACTAGATGTTTATACACGAATATGAAACAGATAAACCAACTTTCACGGTCAAACGGATGTGTTGCCTCTTTTTCATACTTCTTTATTAAATGAGAAAAATGTATTTTTATGTAAGCTGCTATACTCACAGATGTATGATATTATAAGCAGTTTGTAAATTTGAATTTATCTTTAGTTCCAAGATTTTTAAAAAAACATTAATTACAATTGAATGGTGTCATTTATTACTGTATCTCATCAAATTCTCCCTGTACCCTCCATTTCCTTCATCCTACCCATCTTCCACTTGTCTTTTGCTCCTCACTCCCTCTCCCCCGATTCCCCTCCACAGTTGTTTTCATTGATTTGTAAAATTGGTATATAAACGTTTCCTTAGCTTTCACCCCCCACAACCCCACCACTGCAGTTCGTCAGCTACGCGTACCCCATTCCACATTATTAATTGCAAGGCATACAATGTTGGATTCTCCATTCATTTCACATAGACAGTTTTAAATTTATCTTATTATTGAATCTATCAAATTAAAACTTTAGTAAAGTCTACTGCCGTTCAGTGGGGGTTTTTTTCCCACTCATAGTGACCCTTCTAAGACAGTTGACAGTTCTTTCTTTCAGCTTTTCCAGTGCAATGGTCATTCTCTATCCACTCTTATTTTATTCTCCTCCTAACCCCCCATGTCAGGCCTGCTTAATAAAAGTGGTGCTATTGCACACCCATGTTTAACGCAGCTTTGTTTACAATAGCAAAGAGTTGGAAACGACCTAAGTGCCCATCAAAAACAAATGGATAGAGAAGCTGTGATATATTCACACAATGGAATACTACACCGCATTGAAAAACAAGGAACTCATGCAATATTATTCAAAATGGGTGACCCTAGAGGACATTATGCTGAGTGAAATATCTCTGTCACAAAGGGACAAATACTGCATGGTGCCACTGATGTAGAATGGGACTGACATCAGGGTTGGGGTTAATTACATGCTCAGGAAATTCAGACAGTCTGATGTTAGCAGATGAAAAAGGTGATCTAAAGTTCTGTGTCACTGCAGACCCATTCAGGGTGGACCTGGTGTCTGAAGGAGATATTGTAATGAGCATAAATTCCCTGGGAAAATTATACTTTGAGCATTTCACAGATCCTTCCCAAATTAAGGTATTGTACACATTACTTAATACATCAAAAACCCCATGTTTTTTGTGTCTCATACATAATTAAAAATTGGTTCGCTTAAAAAAAAAGTGGTGCTGTGCAGTACTGTAAAAAAGAAATATATGATTAGGCATTATACATATGACAACAGCCCAAAATAAGAGATATATCATTGCAGAGAGGACCCGGGGGAGAGGGGGACGTAGGCAGTTGTGCAACAATGAATGGCTAAAAAAAAAGTGAACTGGGGGAGGAGGAAGGGAGGGAGAGGGGAACAGTGTGCAACAATCAATGAATGAAAATCTAACTTCTCTGTAAACGTTTGTTAAAATTACAATTAAAATAAAATTTTATTTAAAAAGAAAGAAAAATAGAGTTACCCTACCCTATAGGGTTTCCAAGGCTTTATCTTTTTTCCATGGAACAACTAGTGAGTTTGCACCACCAACCTTCCAGTTAGCAGCTCAGTGCTTAACCCATGGTGCCATCAGCATTCCTTTATTTCTTTGTTATCCTTGCATGAGAGCCGACGCATAGCTGACCCTGTAGCAGTTTTTTAGAGATAGGAAACTGCACATTTGCAGTCAAAGAACCTGTCCATCTTTCTTCAGTGGAGCGTCAGGTGGATCCATCCTGAACCACATTCCTTTGGGTCAGCATTGCAGTTCCTTAGCGCTACCCCAGGGATAGTAAATAGGATCAGAAGTATGAAAACTAATGTCTTTCTGTTTCTCCCTGTCTCTCTCTTGTTTTACAGAGACATTAGTAAAAATTGCCATCTAAGCATTAAAACATTTCTTTATTGGACCATCCTGGGTTTCAGCCATGCCTTCATTTTCTTTTTTGGATCATATTTTCTATTAGGGGAAGACATTTCTCTGCTTGCAAATGGCCAGGTAAGATATACAGTTGTTTCAGTTTTCTAAATATTAATGTTTTTCTTTTGTTTTGAAACATTTCTGTCATTGAGGAAAGAAGTAATAAATTCTAAAATTGTAGATGTTAAACTAAAATAGCATTTGTAAGAGGTTTTGTTTCAGCTTTTTTTTTTTTACTTAAATAAAACTTCCACAATAGTAAAATTTAGAAAGGCAAGGTAATGTAATCTTAATGTGAAAATACAGTTACTACACTCTTTTGCTCTTTAAAAATCAACTCACACAAAGCCATGCCGATATCCCCGCTTTGCTGTTCATTCATTCCAGGATCAGGTTTTAGTAACAGCAGCCTTTAATTTAGGGCTTTCTGTTGTGCTAAGTGTTTTATAATAATCTTCACTAATCCTCTCAATTCTGTTACAAGATAATACTATTCTTGTCTTACAAATGAGAGATAATTATTTAGTGTTTGTTTTTCATTTCATGATTCTATTTTTCAATCTGGGAGCGCTGCCATCTCTCCTCCGTGCACACTGGCAGTAGTAAAGAAGTTACAAGTCCTTATTTAGAATGGCCACTTTTATGAAATGTGATATTAGGAAAGAGGACTACATAGTATAGATTGCTTGATATACTATATCCTAATCAGAATACTTATGTGGAAACGTATTTGACAGAATTGGGTTTTCTTTCTCCAGGTTTAGTTACATACATTAGAGAGAGGACAGGACAGCAGTGGTACAGTGGTATGCTGGAGCTGTTCATTACCTTTCATTTCCTTTTCCATTGACAATACTTAAATATTGTGAAGTACGTTTGGGGGACACAGAAATACACAACTTACATGTGGAAGAGCTTTATTCAACACACTTTTCTCATGGGCCACCCATTGCCATGTACTTGTATACTTAAATCTGCGCATGTGTGGAATCACTAACACATGCAGTCTTGGATCCTTTAGTCTTATTTTTCTGTTCCTTCTCATTGCTGTGAAGTTGGAGCCAGCACATACTCGACCCTCCAGGAGGTTTCAGTGACTGTAAACTACACCAGAGAAGATTGCTCATCTTTCTCCCAGAGTCACTGGTGGATTCAAACTGCCAGCGAGACACATCTTTTGAGTTATCAGCTCAACTCCCGATGAACTACACCACCAGAACTCCCCTTGAGTCTTGTGAGGGATACTGAAAATAAGCTCTGAACATACTGTGCAAGAGTAAAGAAGGAAATAGGATTCATTTCTAGGACAGCCTTAGCCATGGAGAGCCTTTTAGAACACAGAGTGGAAAGGTAGCAATTATTGCTAGCTTACTTTCAAGGACATTCTTAACTTGATTTTTTGATAAAAACATTAATCAGGCTTATGAAGCCTGATGATTACAGCATTACAGAAATAAACTAACTTTATTAAATTTATTTTGCTCTGTATCAGGTACATGTTCTGATTTGTTAAATCAACTTAACCCAATGTAAGGAAAATATTACTATATTACATACTACAAAATTAATCTTAGACTGAGAAACTTGGTTATGGTGATAAATTATCAAGTTTAAACTTAGATCAGAGTTACTTCAAAGCCTGTTACAGAGCTTAGTCACAACCCTAAATTCCTGTGAGAAATGAATAGTAGTAGCCTGGTCCCCCTCTGTTCAGAATGGCCTCTCATGCTAGTAGCAATAAACAAAAGAATGTGAGTGACTGGACCCATTTTTACTTGAAATATCAGGATGAAAACTGGATTGAATCAAGAGAGAAAGCATTTGAAAGAGGAAAAAAAATGTAAAAGATTATAAATTACAACTTGAGGTTAAAAGGAAAAACCCAAACCTCTTTAATTCCACTAAATCAATGTCCCTCAGAAGCCCTCCCTTGGACTGAACTCTCCCTGCTGGCTCTCCCAGGAGGTCTGTTGTGCTTGATTCCAGTTCCAAGCCATTGCTCATGTTTTCTCTCTGGAGTGCTCTTGCCTCTCTGCCAAAGCCTCTCTCCATGAAGCAAGGCTGAGCCCACAGTCCCCTCTGCTTTTTTTCTACCTCTCTCATGTCATCCTGAATTTAAAAGTCTAGATTCCTAGTCCACATCTCATTGTTCAGCACAGCACTGGATGTGTTGAATGCTTCCTGTTACATTGCTCTTTTACTGTAATTTTGATTCAAGTTTATACACTAAATTGAATAAATCATTCTTCCCTTTTAAATATTCTTGGGCGAGTTGTTCTGTGCCGGGGGTCATGATTCTGACAGTGTGTCAGTACTCTCATCACTGCCATTCTGTACTCTCAACATCGATTTCGTTTCTCTCTCTTCACCATCCCATCTCTGCTCTTGAGTAGTTAGTTGACCATTTGGTGCCATCTAGTTTCTTTTTAAAAGAACACATTACTCATAGGTGATTTTTTTTTAATAAGTCAATCTGATATTTGACTGTATTTGACGTGCAGAAATAGTTTCAGTTCCAAGTCCAAAGGCAATAATCTTAGGGCAATAATCTTGGATGTTTCTCTAGTTCCTTTTAGTCCAGTAGATCTGGCCCTTGTTTCAAAGCAGGAATAGCTTTGTTCTGTTTTGGGTTTCCCTGCTCACATTCTGTCTGGAACTATATAGTTTCTGTGGTCAGATTGTTGGTATCACTGCTGGTGTCAGGTTGCGGATATGTGGCTGTTAGTCCATTCACTAGTTTCTTCTTTGAGCCTTTGATTTCCATCATTCTCCTTTGCTACATATGAGTAGAGACAAAGTTGAAGCTTTAGATGTCTATGAAGAAGTTTGTATGGACACACACATCGTTATATGTTCAGGAGATGTGCAAATGGTTGAAGGAAGAAAAGATTGAAGGAAAATATTTGAAGCAAGTGGGACCAGTGTAAAGAAAAAGCTAATGTGAACAAATGATCGTGATAGAAAACAGGACAAAGAATTGTCAGTTATCTGAGGTTGAGATCTAACAGGGAAATTCTACATTCTGTGTCTGGTTTTGTTTGGGGGGGGTTTGCTTTTTGAGCTTTTTTATCTAAGGATGTTGGGAAAGTCTGCTGTCAGGGACCTCTCCAGCTTATGAAGAACAACAGTACCAGTCTGGAGACTAAGGTGTGCTTGGTTCCAGCTATGGTCTTTACAATTACTTGCTATCTGTCAGAAAGCTGGACAATGAAGAGGGATGATAGAAAGAGCCTTTGAGCTGTGGTACTGGAGAAAAGTATTGACTATACCATAGACTGCTAGGAAAACAAACAGGTTCATCTTAGAGGGGGGGAACCAGGCTGCTCCTTGGAGGCAAGGATTCTCAAGCTTCATCTGACATACTTTGGACATGTTGCAAGGAGGGGACTGATCCCTGGAGGACATCATGCTTGGAAGGGAGTGGAAAATCCTCGATGAGATGGATTGATTCAGTGCCTGGGGTAATGGAGTATGGGTGTCAGAGACGATAAAGTGGGCCCAGGATAGAGCAGGGTTCATAGCTGTTGTAAACAACTTGACAGCACATAAAAACAAGGATAAGAGTATTTTAGCTATTAATTAATATCATAGTTGATATTCCTCTACTGCTCCTTCTTAATATTTGTCACCTTTAATTTCCCTTTTCATTGATGTTGTTGTTGTTGCTATGTGCCGTCGAGTTGCTTGCAACTCATAGCGACCCTATGTACAACAGCCCTAAACTCTGCTCTGTCCTGTGCCAATCGCACTGTCTCTGACACACTCATCCCAATTACCCCAGTCTCTGAATCAATTCACCTCATAGAGGGCCTTCCTCTCTTGCGCTGTCCCTCCACCCTCCCAAACATGTTGTCCCTCTCCAAGCACCGGAGCCTCCTTACAGCATGTCCAAAGTATGTTAGACGAAGCCTCAGAATCCTTGTCTCCAAGGAGCAGCCTGGTTTAACCCTCTCGGGCGTGAATCTGTTTGTTTTCCTAGCAGTCCATGATACCCTCAATAGTTTTCCCCAGCACCACAGCTCAAAGGCAGCAATGCTCCTTCTATCCTCCTGAGTCATTGTCCAACTCTGTGATGCATAACAAGTGATTACAAAGACCACGGCCTGTATCAGACACACCCTAGTCTCCAGAGAGATACCATTGCTCTTCAGAACTTTGGAAAGGTCCCTAACAGCAGACTTTCTTATCAAAATGTCTTTTCATTTCCTGGCTACTGGTGCCAAGAGTGTTGACTGTTGAGCCAAGCAAACTAAAGCTGTGAACAATCTCAGTCTCTTCTCCATCCACCCTGATGCTGCCAGTTGGTCCAGTGGTGAGAATCTTTGTCTTCTTGACCTTAAACCTCAATCCATATTGGAGGCTACAGTCCTTGACCCTCTGCAGCAAGTGCTTCAGGTCCTCCTCAGTTTCAGCAAGCAGGGTTGTGTCATCTGCATATCGTAGATTGTTGATAAATCGTCCACCAATCTTGACCCCACATTTCTCTTCATAGAGCCCAGCCTCCCAGATAATCTGTTCTGCATACAGGTTGAGAAGGTATGGAGACAGGACACATCCCTGCTGTACGCCCTTCCCAATTTTGAACCATGCAGTGTTCCCTTGCTCTTTTCTGACAACTGCATCTTGGTCCAAATATAGGTTTTGCATTACCACGATCAAGTGTTCTGGGATTCCCATTTTTCTCAGAGTCAGCCACAGTTTGTTATGGTCCACACAGTCAAATGCCTTTGCATAGTAAATGAAACACAGATATACATTTCTCTGATATCCCCTGCTTTCAGCTAAGATCCATCTAACATTAGCTTCAGTATCCCTAGTACCACGACCCCTCCTAAACCTAGCCTGGATTTCCGGCAATTCTCTGCTGATGTGCTGTTCCAGTCGTTTTTGGATAATCTTCAGTAGAATCTTGCTTGCATGTGAAATGTCAATGATATTGTTCCATAGTTTCCACACTCTGTTGGGTCACCCTTCTTTGGGATGGGAACAAATATAGATCTCCTCCAGTCAGTTGGCCAAGTGGTTGTTCTCCAGATTTCTTGGCACAACTTGGTGAGCACATCCAGGGCAGGATCTGGTAGCTGAATTATGTCAATTGATGGTACTTGAATATTACAAAATATATTTGGGAATCCAATGAGAGCCAATATTTGCAATTGTGAAAAAAAAGTTTGAACTCTTAGGTAAAGTTTTAACTCCGTTTCTTCAAGATAAAAGAATTAATATTAAGTGTTTTGATTAGCCCATGCAGATTTGAAAGAGTTAAAGTATTTCAAGTACTATTGTTGTTATATACCATTGAGTCAGAAGCAACTCATAGCTGACCCTCCAGCAGGTTTTCAGAGGCAGTAAATCGCATAGGAGTAGATTGCCCTTATTTCTCCTACAGAGCAACTGATATACTTGAATGATGTGACTTTACCACTAAACCAATGGAGCACAATTAAAATACTGTTGTTGTTGTTGTTGTTGTGTGCTGTCAAGTCACCTGGGACTCATAGTGACCATCTGTACAAGACCTCTGAAGCCTACCCTGTCCTGAGCCAGTCTCACTGATTCTGACATACCCCCATTGCCCTAGATATTGTATCAACCAATCTCATCTGGGGTCTTCCTCTCCTGTGCTGTCCTTCTACCCTTTCAAGTATAATGTCCTTCTTCAAGGACCAGTCTCTCCTGGGCCTGTGACCAAAGTATATGAGAAGGAACTTCAAAATATTAGCCTCCAAGGAGAAACTTGGTTTCACCCTCTCTAAGACAGACCTCTTCGTTTTCTTGGTAGTCCATGGTCCATTCAGTAACTGGGGTTATGGGGGTAGGTGTATTAAAGACAATAAGATTGGCACAGGAAAGAGCAGGGCTTAAGGTTGTTGTACATAGTGTTGCTATGAGTTGCAGGTGCCTTGATGGCACATACCAACAACAACAATAAAGTAAGACAGGCCATGGCCTAAATCAGGTGCACTTTAGTCTTCAAACTAATATCATTGCTCTTCACCATTTTGCAGATTTCCTTGGAATAAGACTTGTCCAATGCAATCCTGGTTTTCTGATTGCTGGTACCAAGAGTGTTAATTCAGGCCGTGGTCTTCTCAGACTCCGGTTACACATCTGAGAGCTAGACAGTGAATAAGGATGATAAAATAATTGATGCCTTTAAGCTGCAGTGTTGGTGAAGAGCATTGAATATCCCATGGACAGCCAGAATAACAGATATGTCTTGGAAAGAGTGCAACCATTGTGCTCCTTCGAGGCAGATAGTGAAGCTTCAGCTTTCATTCTTTAGACATGTAGCTAGGCAAGGCTTTCCCCTGGAAACAGAGGGTCAACAAAGGAGAGGAAAACTCCAACAAGATGGATTGATACCTTGACTTCAGCAACGGGCTCTCATGTCAGAGATAATGAGGATGACACAGGATAGGGCAGAGTTCAGGTCAGCTATTCATAGGGTCACTAGAGTCATATGACTCAACAGGCATCTAACAACAACAAAAAAAGTAAAGGAAATTAGCATACAATTACGAAGTCACTTTTGTTGAAGTGACTGTCAGTAATGTAAATTTGTTGTTTTGTTGTTCCTCCTCAACATTTGGCCTTGTGTGGTCCTTGGTCCTGCTCTGTCCTCCTGATGCTGACATGTCTGTTGTGCAGCTGTTGTGTGTACTTGCCAATGTCAGTACTCATCTGCTAGCACTGGATCAGTTGCTGTTCTCTTGTGAGCCTTAACATTTCTCAGAAATACCTCACCAAAACGTTCTTGGTTTGGAAAGTCCACAACCCTTTACCCATGAGTGACCCTGTTGCTGTTGAAATACTGATGACAAAACTTCCAATGTTGTAGCCACCAGGCTGTGAGTAACTGACAGGCAGATAGTACGACAACGAAAATATGAGCCACTAAACCAGAATCTCATGGAAGCCCAACTCTACTTCTCCTTAGCTAGATCTCAGAAATACCCTTTCCCACTCACTTTATTATGAGCCTTTACAAGGAACAGAATGGAAAGAGAATAATAAGAGGTTTCACTGATTAGTTGCACTTAAGACAAATTTCTTTTGCTAATTTTATTACCCTCTCCAGCTCCCCTCAAAAAAAGGCCTTGTATACCTGTTTATATGCATTCCAGGACCTTGAATACAAGGGAGGAAACCCTAAATCATCCTCTGCTTCTAAGGAAAGTACTTAACTCACCTCCAATCAGGACCAGTGAAGCTGTCTGCTGAGGGTTGATGTGTGTGTGTGTGGTTCTTACCCTTTCAGGCCCACATCCCTGGAAGCAGCAGCACCTCAAACAGGAGACTGATTATCTGTGTACTGAGATCTCCCAACTCAGGACAGACGAAGGGATTTTTTTTTCCTTTCCCCCCTCCCATTTTTCTCATTCATTTCTATAGATTACAAAAGCAAGAAAATAAGCAGTTTAACTTTTCCCTTTTGCCCTTTCTGACATAAATACATTCAGTGATAATATGCATTATTTCTTAGTGGATAGTAATAAGTAATAATAGTAGTTGTTATTATTACATTCTTGAAAAATAATGAATAATAAAATATTATTAACTACTATATGTTGATTTTAGAAGGAAGCGTGGCATCCACTTCCGTAATAGCTTGCCTCTGGAAACCCTATGAACCTGGAGAGAGGATGAAAGGCACCCAAGTGTTGAGAACTCTCCTTCCCAGGGTCGCTATGAGTCACCTGCGACTCGATAGCACTTAACAACAATAACAACAATTTGTTGATTACTTATTATATATCAGGCATTCTGTTCTTTTCGTATATCCTAATTCTTACAAAAATTTATGAGGTTTGTCTCCATCTTGAAAATGAGAAAAATATGAGACAGGCATTAATTTGTCAAGTATATGCTAATTGTTAGAAAGAATTCTGATTTTTGTTAAAAATTTTAACATTTTATGACATTTTTATTCTTTTCTGGAAATAAGATCTTGACCTTTTTGGGCAGTCTTACACCTTTTTTAATGAGCTGCTTTTTTTTTTTGTTTTTTTGTTTTTGTTTTTTTTTAAGTAAATCTGGCTTTAAAGCCCAATGACGTACTTTCTGACTGGTATTGACTATAGTCTTATATGGAATCCTTTGATAAGTAATCACAGTGTCTGTTACCTTTCCTTTCAGGTCTTAGTGTTGTGTGTGATTTCTTGTTCTATTTATGTCCAGAAAGACAAGTAACAAGTGAACTATTATAACTTCTCTTGTAATGGTTACAGAAAATAGTTCTGATTGGAAAGCATTTTACGTGTATGACAGGAATAATCACTAACTTCTGTATCATTCTGACATACACTTCTAGAGTTAAGTGTCTAAACCTATCTATAGATTTCTAGTCTGATAATAATTATGCGAAGGCATCCTCTCCATAACAATGGCTTCTGGTATTTTGTCTCCTCTGTTCTACACTCTACTAAATAATCCCAGGTCTCAAAGGCCACCTAACGTAAGGAATGCAAGTGATTTTTAGTAGTGAAATGAAATGTCTTCTTACTCCTTTTCTTACTTAATACCCGATTGATACAAAATGTAATAATAGTTGATTCTTTGTGTTTAGATGTTTGGAAACTGGACATTTGGCACTTTGGTCTTCACAGTCATGGTTATTACAGTCACAGTAAAGGTATAGTACTGAAATTAGAAATATGAACAAAAGAAATAAGGACAAATTTGGGCTTTGTATAAGTAAATTTTCTTCACTTGGCCATAGTTTGGGACTTACGGTCTTCTCTCCCCCTCCCTTTTTCCCTACAATATATAATGGCACTGACTGCTAGTTTAATTTTTTTTTCCATTTTTATAAAACAATTATTTTATAAATTTATAATTTTTAAAATCTCAGTTGAGTTTTATGACCCAATAAAGGTTTATTTCTATGTATATAGTATAAAAGAACACAATTTGTTTTAAGCTATGGTGTTAAAAAAAAAAATAAAAATCATTTACTTGAAATTTCCATGTTTCCAAGTCACAGAAGAAATAGAATATAAAATAAAAGTATTTATAAAAACATAAAGTATTTTAAGGACCTTTTCTTGAATTTTATCTAAAAATGTAAAGTCATTGTTTTATAGTTCTAAGGATTTTAAAAAATTTTTCTCTTTTTAGATGGCTTTGGAAACTCACTTCTGGACCTGGATCAATCATCTCGTAACCTGGGGGTCCATTATATTTTATTTTGTGTTTTCCTTGTTTTATGGAGGGATCCTCTGGTGAGTGACTATTCTGTATTTTAATTATATTGATTTAACTATAATAAATATATGCTGTCATAATTCTACACAAAATATGCTATAACAGAGTTAATAAGTTCATTTCTTTCAATTCATTTTAATGATATGGAGAAAGAAATGAATGTTTATCTAATAGTAACTATATTCCAAATGTTTTCCATAAGATAATATTTGTTCATCACAAAACTCAATGTATCTTCATTTTTTATCATGTAGGTCTTTAACTAAGTGGTCACAAAGATTTGGGGGATTTTTTGAGTTGTTTATTTGGTTTTTAAGGTAGCAAAGTGAGGATTTAACCCCTATGTTATTTTACTGCATAACTGATGTTCTTTATACTAACGTATTGGTTCTAAATTATTCATTTGTAATATATTTTATGTTTGTGATAAAGTCATACAGAACCTTAAAACTCTGTATGAATAAACTTCTCTCTGAGAAATAAAAAAATTTGTTTTATCTTTATTGATAGAAACAAATACATAGCTGCCCTGATAGATTAAAAATTAATGCCTTTCTTAAGATTCTTCAGCAGGTGAGGGATAGGGAAAATTTCTCCTTTGAAAATTTATATGTTTGCTTGCTATGCATTTGATCCTCTTATCAAGTTAAAAACTTTGCTAGATATTAACTTACATTTAGGACCATAAAAGAACACTTGTGAATGTGCTTTGTTACATTTTTTCTAAGTTTTTCAATTTCTGCGTTTTCCCATATTCTTTTGAAAGGGGGTATGTGTGTGTGTGTGTGTGTGTGTGTGTGTGTGTGTGTGTGTTATACACACACCAAAAAAAATTGTACATTGATTGCTACTATATAAAACAAGTATCTGGGCAAGCTCTGGTGGCCTAGTGGCAAGAAGCTACACGCAATCCCAGAGGTGTGCGGTTCAAATCCACCAGATGCTTTGCTGGAGAAGGAGGAAACAATCTCCTTGTACCAGTCAAATCTGATTTGACGGCACACACACACAAATGATAAAAATAAAATAAAATTTAAAAAAAAAAAGTATCTGTGAGTGCATTGAGTTTTTAGAAAAGCTGAATACAGACTCTTTAACCTAAGATTTAAATAATCAATCTTTTAGTTGCTCAGTAGAAAACACTTTCTTTCTTTTGTCAGTCTTTTAAGTCTATTTTACTGCATTATTATATTACTACACATTCCTACTAATATCCTATCACTAGAAATTATCTAATCAATACTACTTGGCATTGATAATGACTAAGGCTGACATTGGAAGTATTAAACTAGATTATATTTTCAATTAAGTCTATATTGTCTCATCACTTACTCAGCTACTTATACTCTTTTCAAATTTTGAGCACTTGTATGGGGCATTCTTATAAATTTATTTCAGATATAGTAGGTTTATATGATGTCTTTAAGTCTTTCATTTTCCACTTTAATTAAACCCACATTTGTTCCCTTACAGGCCATTTTTGAGTTCCCAGAATATGTACTTTGTATTTATTCAGCTCCTGTCAAGTGGTTCTGTTTGGTTTGCCATGATTCTCATGGTTGTTACATGTCTATTTCTTGATATTGTAAAGAAAGTATTTGACCGACAGCTCCATCCTACAAGTACTGAAAAGGCACAGGTAAGCAATTTCTATATATATTATCTTTTTAAATTCAAAATTTTAACAATGAATGAATAGTCATCATTATAATCTGCTAGGTCATAAAGGATGAAATTACACATTCCTGTGTTAAGCAACTTTCTTGCTGTATAAACTCTTTCAAGTTGTTTCTTACCTGTTTTTGTTAGTTTTATGACTTCTGATCATTCAAAATACATGTTTTTTCTTAATATAATGTTAAATATTTAAAATAAAAAATTATTTCATTATGTCCAGATAATAATATTAAGTGTGTTTTAGGTAATTTTGTCACAGCAGTTGATCAGATTTATGTGTATCTGTGTAGTTGAGAATTTTATATCTGTGTCCTTGGGAACATTAAAATTTGATTAGTTTTTAGGTGGGCTTTTAAAAATTTTATTTTATACTGGTTTACTTAAAATTAATATACATTTTTTTTCAGAATTTGATTAGTATTTTTATACTGTTTTCAAGAGTAGAAGTTCTTTAATTTCCATAGTTTTCACAAAGATTTTATTTTATACTGGTTTACTTAAAATTAATATACATTTTTTTTCAGAATTTGATTTGTATTTTTATACTGTTTTCAAGAGTAGAAGTTCTTTAATTTCCATAGTTTTCACAAAGATTTTTTTTAAATATGTTCTCTTGCTGAGTATTTATTAATAAATCTTAAACTACAGAAAATATTTAGCATTGTGGTGCATAGTGCTTAGGAATTTGGTTTTGGGGACTGGACATGTATCTGCCACTAGCTATATAACTGTCTCCATTTTCTTATTAGTGAAAATTTCATAGGAATGCCTATTTCCTTCTTTTTTGTAATGATGATTAAATGAAAAAAAATGTTCAGATCTGTGGTAGAGACTCAAGAAACACTAGCTATTTAGTTGAATTTACCTTTTTTTTTGTATTTTACTTTACACAAGCAAGGAAAAATGTCTTAATTTGTTGTGGTAACTGTACCATAGCTTTGGATTTGTGCTCTCAGATACAGCATCTAATCAGCTCTTGCACTCAAGTAACAGCTGATTAGTTGATCCACCTCAGTTTTATTTTACTTAGCTTGAAATTTCTTAACATTGTGTTTAGTTCTGCCAAGTAAATTTAGTTTAATGTTGGAAATTTATTTGTATATCTGTGCTGCAACTAGGATAGTTGCTCACTGTTTTGTCGTTTCTCTTGGGCTTCCTAAAGGGTGCATTAAGGATCTCTGGTGGCCCAGTGGTTAGAGAGTTGCCCTGCCAACCAAAGGCAGCTGTTCAGATCCACCAGCTGCTCCTCAGGAGAAAGACAGGCCATCTCCTCCCATGAGATTTAAAGCCACCGAAATGCACTAGAGTGTCAGCTATCAGTTGATTCCAACTCAGCAGCAATGAGTTGAGTTGAAATGGTACATTAGTTTTCATTTTAGTTGATTATATCAGCATTTCTTTAGCATATATTTACTTTCACAACCTAATCCTAGCAAATCTGTGTTCTAACATCATTAAGGCAGCATAAGCCTCTGAAGCCTAACAAACTTGAATTTAAATACTGCTTTTAACATTTAGAAAGTATATGTCTTTGATCAAGTAATTTCTCTATGCCGCAATTTCCTCTACATAATTGAAATAGTAATTCCTATTTTACATGATGGCTAGAGATAATATGAAGTACCTAACATAGGACCTATACATTGTAGTTGTTTAGTGAAATAGTTACCATAAGGGTGGGCTGAAAAATTTACATAATTTAATTCCAGCAGGCTCTGGGTTAGGATGAAATCAGTTCCTGTGTCTCTTAAGAATTTGTAGGTCAGTCAAACCAGATGCATACAGTGTCTGCTTAACCTCATTTTAGTGCAGGAAAACACTTGAAGTGACTTGAAAGCTGCAGGTGCAACCAGTGGCAGTGATGTGATGAAGAATCTGTTCAAGAGTAAATGTGCAAAACATGAGCAGGGCTGTCAGAGGTGGAGGCTAGTCCCACAACTTTGTGTGAGTAGTTTTCACAGGCTAATCCCACACATCAGGCTCCTGAAAGGGCTAACCACATGTCTTCTTAGTCTGATATTCCCGTGTTTGGTCTTCATTTTTCCCATTCACGTTTTCATCTAAATTGTCAAATTCTAGTCTGTCCCTCGTTTATGTCATCCATCAGCCAGGACAGAACCTATTCAGAAGTGCTGCGTTACAGCACAGGTAGTAGTAGAAGTCAGATAGGCCAAACCAGGGTCTGACTGTACTGTCGACCTGTACCTGGCTGGTTCCATACAGACTTCCACTCTGCAATGTATGTCTGTGTCTGTATCAAGAAAGACCTGCCTCTCTTACGATTTCTAATCAGAGAAAAATGTTTACAGTAAGAGAGTGTGATATTGAGGTGTTGTCTATCATAATTTTTCTAGTCCTTTATGGGAAACACTTGTCTCTCCACTGGTCTATGTAATGTTGCATTTCACCAGAATACATGAATAGCATCATTTAAAAAATTGACACCACCACTTAATTCTTTATAAGAGTAACTAATCACTCTTATTTATATTTATACTTAGAAACTCTAATGTGGCCTTTACAAATAAATGTAGGGTTATCTTTAATAGTGATTTCTTAATGTGGAAAATGATGTTTCTTCTTAACTTTTTCTAAACCTCTTTTTAAAGGATTCTATAGGAAGTATTTGGAGCCTGAAGGTGGACCTTTCTTCTTGTTGTTGTTTACCAAGTGGGTTTTCAGAGGCAGTAAATCACACAGGAGGAGACTGTCCATCTTTCTCCTTCAAAGCAGCTGGTGGATTCAAACCAGGCACCTTTGCATTGGCAGCACAATTCCTTATCACTAAACCTCCCTAAGGAGGACCTTCAGTCAAGAAAATGTTAAAAATGTGATTTTTATATGTATTTTTGTTTTTCTACTATGGATTAAAATGGATGAGAAAATGAAATGCACAATAAACCAATCCTTTTATTTGTAGGTGAAAGCCATTTTCATATCTACATGTTCCTTGTCAAAATACTTTTTAAATGACTAGCTATTCTAGTATCATTTCTAACCTGCTGTTTATTTATGCTGAGTCAGTACATGATCAGCTCATTCCCTATGTGGTGTTATTTCTTTGCTTCAGGCAGTAATCATTATTATTTCGGCATTACATCATCATCTCTGATTACAGATGATGAAGAAATAAAAAGTTTCAGCCACTTCATTGTTCACCAAAAGTAGCACGAAAAATCAATTCTGATCTTTGTTTTCCATCAGAATAGCAATATGGTGTTAAGAGTGAAGAGCAAAGTCTTTTAATGGTGAAGTCAACAACTTGACAGTTGTCAGTCATGTATGTGTATGGTGTATGGTATTTCCAATTGTTGTAGGAACAGATGTCTTTTACAGCTTGTCCTGTCTCTTGTCTCTTAGGTGATGAATACAGCTCACTGACTTGTTGTATGTCCCATCCCTTTTCTGTCCACTTATAGATGTACTCCAACACAGTCGCTTTAAGTGACGAGTTCATCGCTCTGCAGCCATTGTCGAGGGCAAGGAATCAGCTGAGCAAACTTAGGTAGAGTAGGAGGAGTAGAACCTCATTAACTCTTTTGCATGCTCAAGGCCAACAAACAGAAAAAGATGGGCAGAGGCATGAATTAACAGTGGGACATTTTTGCTATCACGGCCGTGTCCCTGACTAATTCGACCTTTATTAATATTTATAATAAAATCTGAAAAAGGAAATATTTCCATGTCTTTGAGATGAAAATTCAGTATAACAGGACAGAGATCTGTACCTCATTATATTTATTTTTATACTTTATCTTTTCTAGCATAATTCTTAATGCTTCTGCTTGTCATATTATTCATATTTAAGACTGCTCTTGCATGTTAAATAACTAAAGCTAAAGAAATTCATCGTATAAATTTACATTTTAAGTTGTAGTTACTTGAAAGTGAGAGTTGCCCATTATCTTGCCATACTCTGTAATAAATACATGTGTGTATTTGTGTTTGTGCCCTGTAATGGCTGCTGGAGCATTTCATATCCATGCTACTGTTTAGTGCATCTATAAACTGAACAATAGATTTTTATATACATACTTTGATACATGCTTTTAGCTCCACAGAAAGATTCATTCATTTGTCGCCCAAATGACAAAATAAAAACCTAATAGTAATCAAGAGATGTCTTTTGCTGTAAAGGAATGAAAGCTTAGATCTTATAACTTTTGGTTCTTACTGAAACTATATGTTTAACTCCAATCTTCTTTAGGAGAAAAATATTATAAAATACTATTTTGTTACTCTTCCATTTTTTTGCCCATCAGTGACGTGTCCATTCTTACCAAGTATATTCTTTTTAGATTCTTTTTATTCTGAGGTTTTTGATTTGTCTATATGCATTTGATGAAATGAATGGTTTTGAGAAAATGCTGCTTAAATAACCTCTTATGTAACTGAGTTCATTTTGAGGTGTTTTAAACCTTTCCATTCCTTGTCATCATTAAAACAACAAGATTTGTTGATATGTTCTACCTTGAATTATAAAAGTAAAACAATTGCAGATGAATATACAAGAGATATTTAAGGGGTTGTGTGCCAAATTTCATCTTTAACGCAAGAACTAAAGTCAAAATGATTGTGAAGATTCCCCATCCCCTTTGGTTGAGCTATGTGTATATCACGTACAGGTAAATGACTTTCTGAACACTAGATCTCTCTCATTTTTTAACATCATTATATAAAACAGTCTGGCAAACTCTTTTGTCAAACATGAAAATGACTTGCATTGAGGATAATGGTAATATTTTCATGAGATTCTAGTATTTATATACATTTGCTTCAATCAGGCTACATTTTTGTGTGTGTCAATATTAGACTGAAAGAGAATGGGGGAGGAAGATCAAAAATCGCCAAGCTCTTAGGCTCCATAATACCATTATGGAAAGGGAGGCTTAGTAGTCATCTGTGCAAGAACACATTGAGAACATAATATATGCGAGGCAACATAGCAAGGGGAAAGGTCTC